CACAACCGCCTTTTTGGTGAGTCAAAAAGTCATTGTTCAGTAACACGGGACTAACTTATTGTCTACAGGGCCGCGCCGGTCTCGTCGCCTACCGCCGCTCCAGGGGAGGATTAAACGCTGCCGGAAAGGCATTCTATAAGGGGTTCGTGGAAATTTCCATTATCTTATGGCTATATGGGATATTGACTAATGTCGTGTTACAGAGGATTCGAACCGCGCATGAACCGTCGGGAAGCCTCCCTGATTCTACAACTTGCGTATGTGCTAGCGACAAACTTACTTTTGATATGCCAGAACTGACAATATTTCTCAGTGAACGAACTTTGACCAAGGACAAGATCCGCAAGAACCACCGCCAGCTTATGTTGCTCAACCACCCCGATCGCGGCGGCAGTCCATACTTGGCCACCAAGATTAACGAGGCGAAAGAATTCCTCGACAAGCATGCTTAAGACTTTGCCGATGTGGCTTTGACTTCTCTCTTCTCCAGCAATGCCCTTTGGACAACGATGGAAAAGCGAATCTAGGCCTCGACATTGACAAACTGGTCATCATATTTTGGGCACATAGCGTGGCGTTGGTTTGGCATTTACAAGATCGGAGGAACAGGACTGCTCTTTACGAACCTTGTTGTATTATATGTACTGTTTTCACATATCCCTACGAGATCGCCGCTCTTCGTTGAAATGTACTTTTATTACTATCCAACTATCCGACATACATATCCAGCACCTCAGAACCGGCACCACCCCAGACCCGGAAGTCTCCGGTATCATCAGATCATACCCCTGCCATACTGTCGATCTTTAACTAACAAGGTAACCCCTGGAGAGTAGAAGCGTGTAGGCCCAAGGCTCAAGGTTACAAAAGGTTGTGATGGACACGGGATCCGTACTACCCCATATAAAACGCCACACACCTTTTTTCACAAGAATTATAATGCCATGGAGTACTTCGCATACAACTGTACAAATAATGCAAAATGCCTTTGATCGGCGCAGGTGGATTGGAAGAGATTGAACGGAAGTCAATGCCCCTGTTATCCGGATCGGACGAAATCGACCGTCCACGGGTGTAAATTCAAAGTTCTGCTCGGCGGTCGGGTTTCGGGGTTTCCGTCATGCCACTAAATATCTTCAAGGCAACTGTATAGCGTCCCTCTTGAGTTGAAGTCATATTTGGCATCCTTGATCTCACGTGTGGTTGAGTCATTTCTTACCTAAAGTCTCAAACTCACCTGGGAAGGTGCTCGTGCCCTGTGATTTCATTGTCAGCCTCCGAAAAGATTCTATCCTTCCATGCGTCATTCATTCCTATAATCCATAGTGCACTCTCTCCTTTCTCAGGGAGTGGAAGAAAACGCTCTGCGCCGAGTCGCAGTACCCCGCAGTATCGCTCATCACTTATCACCGCCATTACCTCTACTCCGCGGAGTTTCCGTTGCCCCTCAAACGCAAGAAAGATGGATGGCTTGGGGGACGGCGATATGGGCTTCGACCCGCCTAATATGATGAACCAGACACCACAACTCTTCGGTTACGATAGTTCTCAGATGCAGGCGGGGTCTATGTACGATGATTCGTCATTGGGCGCGGGAGACGAGACAAACGATGCGAAGAGACGGAGGATCGCGAGGGTGAGGATCATTACCCGTTGCAGATATTGGGAATACGTCTAATGAGCGAACAGGCGTGCGACATGTGTAGGAAGAAGAAGATTAAATGTGATGGAAAAATGCCAAAATGCTCACACTGCATCAACTACAAAACGGAATGCATCTTCACACAAGTGGAGAAGAAGCGGAATCCCCCCAAAGGGTATGTACACTTGTATACTTCGTTGCATACAGAGTTCTATATCTGACCTGGGTGTTTCTTCCATAGAGCGAAATACATCGAAGGACTTGAAAACCGACTGGGCCGGATGGAGTCGTTGCTGCGTTTGTCGGGTCTTTTGTCAGAAGAAGATGGCGGCAAGACAGATCTCGGAACATTGGAGAAACGACTAGCGGATCGAACGAATGCGCTGAACGCAGCGAAAGGCTCCGGCAAGTTCATGGCTCAAGCAGCCACAGCCCAACAGGCCCCGAGCTCCCACCAGACCACACCTCGTATGGACTCCATCTCTAGCCCTCAGACAGCCGCTACATCACCAGAGTCGCAAAAGTCGGAGACCGAAGTCGAGGCACTGTCGGATATGATGTGCTCTTTGGTGACAAACAACTGCGGGGAGACTCGGTATATTGGTAGGTTTTGTTATGCAACTGTTTAGGGCTGGTTTGTTAACATATTCATAGGATCCTCATCTGGATTCTCCATATTCTCCCCAAAGGGTATTCAATGGGTCAATGAGAAGACGGGCGATACATCCTTCCAGGACATGATCTCGTCAGCATATGTCGATGACAATAAATGGATGTACTGGAAACCCGAGATCTTCAGCGATATTTTCGCAAGGCGTGTGTTCAAGCCTCTCCCGCCAAAGGAAGAAGCTCTTTCCCTATTCAAGGACTTCTTTGAAAACTTCAACTGTATGTTCCCACTGTTCCACGAAGCAACATTCATGCACTTGGTGGAACGACAATACTCGCGTGATCCCTACGAGGGTTCAGGCTGGTGGGCAAGTATAAATGTTGTCCTGGCAATCTCTCACAGGCTGCGAGTTATGAGTAACTTGGTGCCACACGAAGAAGACAAACGAGCCTGGCTTTATTTGAAGAACGCCATGGGAGTTCTGACCGAGCTCACAATGCGTAACACTGATCTACTGAGTGTGCAAGCGCTATTGGGCATGGTAATGTGTCCTACTCTGCTTTTGATGGCTTTGTCTAACCTACTGTTCTAGTCGCTCTTTCTTCAAGGAACGCCTAATCCACAACCTGCTTTCTTCCTAGTCGCCGCGGCGATTCGACTTTCCCACAGCATTGGTCTACACAAACGCGGTTCTGGATTTGGCCTCAACGTGGTCGAAGTTGAGCAGCGGAAGCGAGTCTTCTGGATCGCCTATCTTCTTGACAAAGAGTATGATCCCTCGCTTTTAGAAAACCGAATACTTTTATCTCAAATACTGACCAATACTTTAGCATCTGTTTACGCTCTGGTCGACCACCAGTACAAGATGACGATGATATGAATGTCGAGCTGCCAAGCGAAGACCCGCCAGACAATGTTGGAAATGTGCCATTATCTGATGGTAGAAGCAAGTTCAACCTATTCCGGTCACTGTGTGAATTTGCCACTATTGAAAGCAGAGTATACAAGCGACTCTATTCTGCCAAAGCATCGAAACAATCAGACGGTGAATTGCTCAATACAATCGGTGAGCTTGACAAGGAGTTGGAAGACTGGAAAGACAGCATTCCTATCGAATTCCGCCCTGAATATGAAATTCAAGCCACCCACACTCCCCTCATCATCCACATGGTTGTTCTACATTTTGCCTACTACAATTGCTTGACAACCATTCACCGGATGTCCGTTCATCACGGGTACTGGACAAGCCGTCTGTCCAACTATGCCATACAGGGGTTGAATGCACGGCCCTTGAACCCCAGGGTATTCTTGTCGGCAGTTTTGTGCGTCACTGCTGCCAGAGCATCGATTAATTTGATCAAGTATATCCCTCAAGGGGACTTTGCTTGTGTTTGGTAAGTTCCAGAGAATCGTGGGAGCAAACAGCTGCTAACTTGATACTAGGCTGATTCTCTACTACCCGGTGTCTGCCCTCGTAACACTTTTCGCCAACATCCTCCAGAACCCCAACGATGTTCGTGCTCGATCCGACGTTAAATTAATGAGCGTGGTAGTCAGCTTCCTGTCCACCCTAGTCTCCGACGAATCCAATGGCAGCATCAAACGTATGCTAGGTCTCTGCGGTGAATTCGAGAGAATTGCCAAAGTGGTCTTGGATAAGACCGAAAAGGAGTCTCAGTCGCGAAAGAAACGCAAGAATGCAGAAGCAGAAGACTCTGCAGGCGCAACCGAAGAACATTCGGCAACTGCACCCTCCGCCAAACGTACACAAGCACCACCTACCTCCACATCCTTCTCTCCCTCCATATTTACCAACCCTACGGCTGCAGCCGCCTCGTCCGGCACAGAAGGGCCATTCCCGGGGTCCACAATGCCACCGACAAGTGGCCTCGCCGCTGACCTCCCAAGCAATGTCCATGCAATGTCCGGCCTTGGGCAGGAGTTCTCTGACATGCTGAGCCCTGATCAAATGGGTAATGTTGGATTCTCCGACCAACACTCATTCAGTGCCAGCCCCGGCATGGCACCATTCCAGCAGCCATTTGTCCCGCAAGATCTCTGGCAGATGCCAATGACAATCGAGTGGGACTGGGCGGATATGTCCACCAACTTCCCTCCTTTTGACGGAGCTGGTCCGGGCGGGCCGCTGCCTGGGCAGTGATAATGAGTGTATGATGAACCAGAGTCACCTTCATCTATCTTGTTATGTTGCTCATGTCGGTGGGCTTATTGTTTCCAGTGTGATCTCTCCACACCAAACCATCTCCACACCCCTTGTATATTGATGCGCTCCTCTTCTTATTTCGAACCCATCCCGAGGTCTCTATGGAGTAACCAGGAGAATTATGGGTTTCCATTACGCAGCGAATGGCGCAAAGGTGGGCCCTATTTATAGGAATAAATATGTACAGACAGGTCTCCAATCAAATTCAAATCAAGATTAGACAGTTTAATTCAACAACGGAATTCATAAACGGCTTTAAAGGAACGACACGGGTTTAAGCTAATTCCATCCGGAACCTAGGTACCTGCTTCTGATGACTCAGCCGGATCGGCGAAAATTTAGAACCGACTGGAACCACACGGCGTCACCTCGGACTTGATGCCCCAGAGCTTCTCAACTCCCAGCTCAATCCCGCCTCCTCACGCCTAATCTTGATGGATTGTGATATTATCCATTACTTCTAAACTCGATTGATCACCTTTTACCCCCGCCCTCGAAGCCCTCGGGGCTCCCATTCCTCGACCATGGCTACCTTGCTCCGACGGCCAGGCAATCTCGCTCGGTACTCGAGGACACTTGCGGAATCTACCCGTCGCACAGGGCTGGCTTCCCTGCGTGTGCGACAATCAAGACTCTCATCTCTGGTTCTATCAAGCCGCGCTAGAACCTACGCCACACAAGGTCCGACACCCCCCGACGACAACAGCCGGAACAATGAACATCAAACAAATAAGCCAAAGTCAGCTTTGACCGAAGCTGAATTGGAACGTGTGGACGAATGGCTGGAAGGTATTGATCCGGTGGGCCGTAAACAGATCCGAAACCACCTCATGAGCCATGGACTTCCAGCGGAAGTCAGGAAGTACCTCGATCGGAATCAACCAACGACGTTGATGGATCGTATTAAGATGATGCGGTTCCTGTGGCAAGCCACAACTTCCGATGCTGCATTGGAAGAGTTCCTAAAGAAATACGAGCCTGATGCCAAAGAGCTAGCAAAAAAGCGCGGTATCTCAGACCTGCACAACCCCGCCGAAAAACGCAATGATACCGAAGACTCCAGCCTCCGCTTCAACAAGGATTCAGAGCAGGAGCCACAAGGGCAACAACCGGCAAAGCAGGGCGAACAGCAATCTAACTCACAACCGCCAAAGGATCCCAAGCAAGACAAGGATCCCAAGGAGGAAAAGGATACCAAGCAAACGGAAGGTCCCAAGAAGGATCAACAACAACAGAAGAAGCAACAGAGCGACAAGAAGGGCAAGGTGCCCCCGAACATGGGCAAGGTTCTCGAGTTCCGCTTCGATCCCGTTTCGTTCTTCGTCACCGCTCTCGTCACATACTACGCCTACCGCAGCTTCTTCCCCGGTGATGCCGGAGGCAGAGAAATCACCTGGCAAGAATTCCGGGCGAACTATCTCGAGAAGGGCCTCGTGGAGAAATTGACCGTCTTGAACCGCACCAAGGTCCGGGTTGACCTCAGCGGCGAAGCTTCGGCTCAACCCGATTCAAATGGTCAGACTCCCTCCTATGTCTTCTTCAGTATTGGTTCTGTCGACAGCTTTGAGATGAAGATCGAGGCAGCTCAAAACGAATTGGGTATTCCATCACATGAACGTATTCCTGTCGCCTATCATGACGAAACCCCATGGGGCGGCGTCTTGATGTCATTGGCTCCTACTCTTCTCTTCCTTGGTGGTGTCTTCTGGATGTCCCGTCGTGCCGGTGGCGGCGCCGGCGGCCAGAGTGGAATCTTTGGTATCGGCAAGAGCCGTGCCAAGCGCTTCAATCACGAGACCGATATCAAGACCAAGTTCGCCGATGTTGCGGGCATGGATGAAGCTAAGGTTGAGATCATGGAATTCGTTAGCTTCCTTCAGCAACCCGAGCGGTTCGAGAAGCTGGGTGCAAAGATTCCCCGTGGTGCCATTCTCTCAGGTCCCCCCGGTACTGGTAAGACATTGCTTGCTAAGGCCACTGCCGGTGAATCTGGCGTGCCTTTCTACAGTGTCAGTGGTTCAGAGTTCGTCGAAATGTTTGTCGGTGTTGGTCCCTCTCGTGTCCGCGATCTCTTCGCCAATGCCCGGAAGAACACCCCCTGCATTATCTTCATTGATGAAATCGACGCAATTGGAAAGTCCCGAGCCAAGTCGAACGTTGGTGGTGGAAACGATGAGCGTGAAAGCACTCTTAACCAGATTCTCACTGAGATGGATGGTTTCAACACCTCTGAGCAAGTGGTTGTCCTGGCTGGTACCAACCGACCGGATGTTCTCGACAAGGCCCTCATGCGTCCCGGACGATTCGACCGACACATTGCCATTGACCGTCCTACCATGGACGGTCGCAAGCAGATCTTCCGTGTTTACTTGAAGAAGATTGTCACCGACGAGAACTTGGAGTACATGGAGGGCAGACTTGCCGCTCTGACTCCTGGTTTCGCTGGTGCTGATATCGCCAACTGCGTGAACGAGGCTGCTCTTGTTGGTAAGTTTTTATGCATAATCTCTTCGCTGTGTTTCATCAAAGCTAACAAATCTTCCCTGCAGCTGCCCGCGGAAACGCAGACAAGGTTGTCATGAAGCACTTCGAGCAAGCCATCGAACGAGTCGTTGGTGGATTGGAGAAGAAGTCTCTTGTCCTCTCCCCTGAGGAGAAGCGGACCGTCGCCTACCACGAGGCTGGCCACGCTATCTGCGGTTGGTACTTCAAGTGGGCCGACCCGCTGCTGAAGGTGTCGATCATTCCTCGTGGACAGGGTGCACTCGGATATGCGCAATACCTCCCGGCCGGTGGCGACACATATCTGATGAACGTCAACCAGATGATGGACCGCATGGCCATGACTCTGGGTGGTCGTGTCAGCGAAGAGCTGCACTTCGACAGCGTGACTAGCGGTGCTAGTGATGACTTCAACAAGGTCACTCGCATGGCTACTGCCATGGTGACTAAGTTCGGCATGTCGTCCAAGCTTGGTTACATTTACTACGAGGATGACGGACAACAGCAACTCCACAAGCCTTTCTCCGAGGATACTGCCCGCTCTATTGATATGGAAGTGCGCCGTATCATCGAAGAGGCCCACAAGCAGTGCCGCGACCTCCTGACCGAGAAGAAGAAGGAGCTCGGTATTGTTGCTGAGGAGCTTCTGTCTAAGGAGGTTCTTGGACGCGACGACCTCATCCGTCTCCTTGGCCCGCGCCCCTACCCCGAGTCTGGCGAGTTCGCCAAGTACTTCGATGGCACAGGTGGCAAGACCATTGCTCCACCGGACTTCCAGAGCCCCGAACAAACCTCTGGTAAAGATGGCCGGGATGAGACACCTATCCCTCCTTCATAGATTATGGGACTGTGTTTCTTTGCATCCTTGCGCTTTGGTTTGATTTTGGTTCAATTTTGGGAGGCATGATATCACTGTAGCCTCCCTTTTTGTATTTATCGATTGCATCTCCCGTTTCTTCTCCCCTCTCATCTTCTCTTTTCGTCTACTCTCATCCACAACACCTTTCCCTCTTTCCTCCTCTCGTGCTCATTAAGAAGATCGTTTCACTTTTTTTTATTTTCTCTCATCTGTTCCCCTGTCCATCTCTGTGTCCAATTGGATCTGTACAACTTGTACCGAGTGTATAATAGGGAGTTTTATTGAAACATGTCTTAGATTAGAAGTTCATGTCTCTTGCGCGTAAATATTGTTGAATCACCGTCGTAAAACTCACGGGAAAACGTTGTATCAAACTTGTTGGATAATGGTTTATCCAAGTCTCCTTTGCTAGCAATGACACATTCAAGACATGCGAATGTCTTGCGCTTTATATCCTCAATTATTCCGTTTGAGGTATGTCTAAAACACTTCCAAGAAGTTGACTCAATTCAAGACTTCTTTATTATGAATGCAAAGCTAGTGCATACAAACCTACAAAGAGACTCAAGGCGAAGAGGACAAACGGTCCAGCTAGGAAGATAGCGTCTATATAGATAAAAGAGCTCAAGACCGATCATGACCACATTTATGGCACTCAATCTACTAGCAATACAGTTCAGTCTCCCAAACCCTACGGCGAAGTTCATATGAGAGGAGAGCATGATACCCTAAGAAAAAACGTCGAACCTCAGTACGCCGATTAAATCGACCTTTTCGTGCCCTCAGGCCATAGTTCATCTGTGAGAACTTCAGACTGAGATCCTGGTTCATCAGAGATGCGGCACATCCCAGCACTTCGAGGCGAGAATAGTCAGGATCTACTCAGTGATGACACGAGTTCCCACGAACGCCGCCCTAAATTCGAGGAGTGGACGAGCGATGCTCTCCGCGCATTCGATATTTTTTGGCATGATCCAGAGAGGAGAAAACATCCTAGTTATTTCCAACCCGGCAGTCCTCCACTTTCAAGTGGCGCATCAAGCAGGACTACTGTATCTCAAGGCAGACAGATCTTCCCCCCAAATACCTATGCTACTCCCTACAGGACGATAGCACTAGAGCAGTCCCATCAATATTGGGATACGACGAAACAGCCCCATCAGCTTTCACGGGAGATGATACCCCGATTCTACAATCCGGACCGTTTGAAAGAAAAGCTTCTTGGTCCTGAGAACTATAAGCATTGGGCGGATCGGATGAAGAAGAAGCTTGGGCAGTGCGGCGGATTGTGGATCACCAATACTGATATGGAAATGCCGGCGCACAACAGCTTGAGCACACAATACATCCTGCCCAACCTCAATCTTTGGATGATGGTTTTCAGCAACGTGTCACAGCCCATACGACGAGAACTCTGTGCTTCACAAGCATTGGATGCACAGGAGGCATGGCAATTTCTGGAGAAGACATATGGAAGAGACGTTCCCATGAAGATGCGTTCAGTTCAGGGCCTACGTGATATCATGAGTATCAGGTATGACAAGTGCGCATCACTGCAAGAATACATAGAGAAGATGGTGTTGTGCAGCCGAGCAATTCAATGTAACCGCGGAGAGAAAGACCATGACGACGGAGGGAAAGACAATGGCCGCGGAAAGAACCGCGACCACGTGAGAGGAAGAGATGAAACTAACGAATGGCTGTGGTGCCAATTCATCTTGGTAAATCTTGGTCCCGAGTGGGAGTCTTGGGTCTCTGAGCTGGTAGAGAAATTCGAAGATAAAGAGAAAATGCATGCTGCAATATGCACTTTCAGAGGACTCTTCCCAATCATCGAAGCAGAACAGGCACGTCGCACTCAAGCTTCTCGTTACACGAAGTGAGATACGTGACCATGTGCTAAAAAGACCTGTGAACATGTATTCGTGTTTCTAGTTCGTTACAATGAGTGATTAATGCCTGAAAAATTAAAAATTGTGTGCATTTTGTCAAAATCGTTAATTTTGAGAGGTTCCAAGAAAGCGTATAAAATCAGAGCAAAACATGTCCACCCATCTGGTATATATTCCTTCATCTGCTTATATATAAACCAACAAATCAAGTGCTCTTCTTGCTAGCCTTCTTGGTCTTCTTCGCCTTGACGGACAGGCGAGGAATAAATCTGCCAACGCGGGCCTGGTAGTCGCTGTACTCGGGGTACTTGCTAGTGGTAATAGCCTCAGTTAGACGGACGCTGCATTGGAAGACAGCGAAATATCCCAAAACGCCCAGACCGGCCCAGTTGAAGTAAGTCTCGGTGCGGTAGCAGGACCACGCATACATGGTCAACCAAAAGGCCTGCTCGGCAACGAAGTTGGGGTGTCGCGACCAAGACCAGAGACCGCTGACAACAAAGCCCCGCTCAAGATCTTCGGCGGAGAACTGGTCCTTGTAGGGCTCGGGAATACGCGCGTTGGTTTGGTACTCCTTCTTAGCAGACTGGAACTTCCACTGCTGCCCGTCGGCGAAGAATTCAATGATGATAAAGAAAAACGCAGCACGGGAGAAGGCCAAGTCGGGAAGGCCAAAGACCTCAGTTCCTTGGTTGTATGCGGCGACAACAAAGATGTAGGTCGGAGCGGTGATGAAAAGGAGCAACAGCGACTGAGCGATGGCAATAAATCCAAGGTTGAAGATCATGAACAAGAAGCTATTGTTCACTTTAGAGCGCACAATCTCCCAGCGGTAATCTTCCGAGCCGATCGAATATCCTCCTTTGCGCCAGTAGTTGAAAGTCAAGCGGACCTATTCCATAATTCGAGTCAGCACATGCAGAGACTCGAAAGTAACGTCAACTTACACTCCAGAGAACACTGATGACAGCGATTGTATCCACAGTCTGGGTTTGGATGCCGGACAAACGAGCCCAGACGGCGAAATGCACATTATACAGCGCAGGGAGAATGCTCCAAAACCGGTCTACTTGTGACCAGTTTCGGTTGATCTCAGCCGCGATGAAAAACAGACCAGCCAGGACTCCACAGAAAGCAAGCGCAGAGACGAAGGGGTTGGTAGCTAGATAGACAGCTCGCAAGCTATACACATCGCTACCAGCTTCGCGCAAGCTGTCGGGCAGCCATTGCAGCTGGGACAAGTAGGGGGCAACGGTGAGCTCAAATGAGGTATAGTCCAAAAGGGACTCCACACGGGGAAGTGGTAGAGATGCCATGGCTGTGCTCCGTACTATATATCGTCAAAAGGCAGGAGAAAAGACAAACAAACCCTTAGGAAGTGTTTGCTGTGGAGTTGGACGGGTAGATTTACCCATTGGGAATAGCGTTCTTAAAGGGGAATAGCGTGTCCAAAAGTAGTATATGCCTCAGGCATCCAACCGCGTCTCAGGCATCTAATCTCTTCGCGTCCGAATCGTTCCAGAACAAGATGTGATCGACATCAGGACATTCAAGGCCACCACCACTATGAACCCCATGTGATCTAGATTGGGGCTTATCATGGCTCGCAAAATCCTATGTGTGGCTGAGAAGCCTGCGATTGCTCGTGCAGTGGCCACTCACTTATCGGGAGGTTCTTTTCAAACAGTGGGTTCCCTTTTGAATAATTCTGATGATCCAGCTAACATAGAGCATAGCGTGCGATTCGTGGGAATCAATATGTGAAAAATTATGAATTTGATTTCGATTTCGGTGGTGCCTGGGGCAACTGCTCGGTCACCATGACCAGCGTAGTGGGCCATCTAACTGGTCTGGACTTTGATCGCCAGTACAAAGGCTGGATGTCCTGTCCTCCAGGGGCACTATTTGAGGCTCCTGTGCAAGAGACTGTTGATAAGGTGGGCAATTATCCAGCAACTGTCTTGACTGCATGCTGATGTCTTCACTAGGACAAGCTACCAATCGCGGATAACATCCGGGACCAAGCCAAGTACGCTAAAGCCCTATTCATTTGGACTGATTGTGATCGCGAAGGCGAGCATATTGGTTCTGAGGTCCGTAATCAGGCAAAAGCAGGGAATGCTCGGATCGAGGTTAAGCGAGCCAAGTTCAGCAACACTGAAAGCGCGTAAGTAATGTTGACTGCTTTGGTATACTCAAACTGATCCGGGGAGGTAGACATGTTCGTCGGGCTGCTCTAGAGCCAGTCAATCTCGACGAATATCAGGCCAGTGCTGTAGCTGCCAGAATCGAGCTGGATCTTCGAATCGGCGCTGCATTCACCCGCCTACAGACTCTACAACTACAAACAGTGGTGGCAGCCTTGAAGGAAAAAATTATCAGCTATGGTAAGCTGTCGGTCATTATAGATATAAGTAAAGACATTAACAACTTAGGATCTTGCCAATTTCCTACTTTAGGATTCGTTGTCGACCGATACTTGAGAGTCAAAAATTTCAAACCAGAAACATTTTGGGGCATCAAGGTCATACTCAACCGTGAAGGCAAGAAGGTCAACTTTCTCTGGAGGCGGGTACATCTATTTGACCGAGCAGTTGTGACGATGATGCTAGAGCGGTGTTTGGTTGCGAAACAAGCCAAAGTCACGAAAGTGAACCAGAAGCCCACAAGCAAATGGCGGCCGTTACCCTTGACCACGGTAGACCTACAGATGATGGGCAGTCGATTTCTTCGTTTGGACAGTCAGACTATCATGAAGGTGGGAAAATCTATCTCATATCGGATTATATCTAACAAGCTCAAAGGTAGCAGAAGGACTTTACACTAAGGGATTCATCAGCTATCCCAGAACTGAGACAGACCAGTTCGACAAAGCAATCGACCTGAAGAAATTGGTCGAAAAGCAATACCCCGACAGCTCATGGGGCCAATACGCTCGAGAGTAAGCTTATTGGACTTGCATTGCATATACAAGACTAATTTCTATCTAGACTTATTGATGGCAAGTTCAGGACTCCTCGCTCTGGCCGCCACAATGACAAGGCCCACCCACCCATTCATCCTGTCAGCTGGGTCTCACCAAATTCATTGAATGCCAATGAAAAGAAGGTCTATGAATTTGTTGCTCGTCGGTTCCTCGCCTGCTGTTCTGATGATGCGAAGGGCCAAAGCACAGAGATTGAGATTCAATATGGTGACGAATCCTTCCACACCAATGGTCTTATCGTGTTGGAGAGAAACTACTTGGATGTATACGTCTACGATAAGTGGGAAAGCAGTCAGCAACTTCCCAACTTTGAACGGGAAGAGCTCTTTGAGCCCACAGAAGCCAATATTTTCGAAGGCAAAACAACTGCTCCGAACTACCTGACTGAGCCCGAGCTCATTGGCCTGATGGATGCCAACGGGATTGGTACAGATGCCACGATGGCGGAGCACATTGCCAAAATCAAAGAACGTGAATACGTCGCCATAAACCAACGAGGCAGTGGCCGCAGCTCAGTGCAGGAATTCATACCAACCCGCTTAGGGGTTGCCCTTGTGGAGGGGTATGACAATGTTGTTGAGGGTCTCCCTAACAGTGTATCTCTCAGCAAGCCGTTCCTTCGCAAGGAAATGGAATTGAGCATGCTTCAAATCTGCGCAGGCACCAAAACTCGACAGGAGGTCGTCCAGCAGAGTCTAGACATGTACCGAGAAGTATTTATTCACACACAGAGACGCATCAACATGCTAAAATCTGCCTGTCGCAAGTATCTTGTTGAAGAAAACGCGTCATGATGGTTAGTCGTTTACAAAAGGCATCATCTAGATCTAATGAAATATTTAATCGATCGCCTCCAACCCACTTCATATTAGTCAAATCTTTCAAACATTCCAAGAAAAAGAAGAGAAACAAGTCGTAAAATTCCCTATGATACAGATACGAAATTGGATATTCACATGTCCTAGGCTAACCCCTAGCCATTGCGCTAAACTAAGCCTCATTTTCCATTCCCAAGGCCCAGTGCTCCCTCCAAGGTGTGAATTCCATTGGGTTTCTCTGCTGTGTTGCATTTGGAAGCTCCATTGATCTTGTCGGTGGTAGGGCTTTTGTTTAAATCAAACTTGGCTGGCCCGCGCATAATTCGTCAGGTATGTCGGTGGACATAGGTTTTGCCAGTGATGTTAAGCCAAGCCAACTGTCTCGGTAGGGCTTGGGTTCAAATCAAAACTGGGCTGGTCCACGCGTAATTCGTCAGGTATGTCGGTCTCAGGGTACATGGTTTTCGCCAGTAGTATGTTAAGCCAAGCCAACTGTCTCGGAATATGAGGGAAACTTTCAGTATTTCTCATGAGACCCTGGTGTTCTTCACTAACCTTTTCCAGTTTGCTGTCTAGGTCTATCATACCAGACGTGTATTTGTTTTCCATCGTCCCAACAAGATGCAGCAAACAATGTTGAAGGTCGTCCGAGGCGTTTTGGATTGACTGCGCCAGGTGAACGAAAACAGGCCGTACTTGTTCATTTTCTCTTCGAAATTGTCGGATCTCCAACATCAATATGCCGAATTGTTCTTGCACGCCTTTCATTCGGCCGAAACAATTGAATCTCAGGTAGTCGATGTCGTACTTGATGTTGCTTGCCGTCACAAAGCCCATAATTTGGAGTGCGAGAGTAACCAAAACGAGGGTAGTTACGATAGTGAAATACAGCGTGCTATTCTGGTCTGGATTGGACTGCTGCAGCTCCTCGTAACGAAGCTTAGTTGCCGAGCCGTCGTTCAGATTAACCGAATTTGGCATTGCTGTAGCACTCGGGTCGAACATGGACGCTGTAACTCCTGGAATGTTGATTTGCAGGGATGCTGCTTCGGCCGACTGTTCCAAGGCCAGCTTGGCATTTTCGTACTGTTGGGCATCGAGTGAAAGCTGCAGAAGAAGGTCGTATTCTGAGGTTGCGTCATCATGGGGAAAGACTAAAGGGTGAACTTTGCGCAGCTCGTGAATGGAATAGGCAATTTCCAAGGAGCTGAGACTGCGCCAGAAAAAGGAATTGGAAGGAGTGACTCCAGTCAAGGGAATAGAATGCCAGAGGCCAATGCTGCTGAGGCCGGCAAAAATGATTCCCGGCATCAGCTGGTCGAACATCATGGTTGTTGTATCAGATCAGTGAGATTTAGGAGATTCAAGGGGATCTCCATCTTTCTCGGTGGCTTGAGAGCTTAAATATAAGGCCAAGATAAAAACAATAAACAGGCAACTCTTTGTTTAATTCCCAGGTATTCAAACTTGAATAAACATTCATTGTTTTCGGCCCGTTGATTGTTTGAAGGTTCCATATTGTGCATTTCTTTGTTTGGTCCGTTTGGGCTTTTATTGGGCTCTCCTTCTGGATATTTCCTTATATCCCTTATTCCTGCCATATAAGATGTATCTAGAAAAATGACAGGAGAACTGATCATATTCAATAACCTTGAGACCTCATGTTTTTTAAATCAAATGGTCTTGAAATACATAATGAGCACACAGAAATCATTCACAATACCAGCACAAAGAGACCGTACATGGTAGACAGCCTTAAACTCAGTTTCAACTATAGTGGCTTTTCCAGAAATACTATTCCTTTGATCGTAGTGAAATGAGTAGGTAGGTGTATCACAAAGATAAGGAAGACGTTCAGCGCAAACAAAAGCATTATTATCACACTAGTTACTATTTACACATCTCAGCTAATGTTCACACTGTATATCACTGATATTGATTAACTTGTAACATGTTAGATCAAGCTGACAATAAAGGCATCAGTGAATCTTTGAAAGACTTTTCTTATGCAGTTATCCATATTCATCATCTGCAAGTTGAAGATGAACATGAAACTTGGTAGAAGCAAAGACCCATCTCTGTGTTTGTGTCATAGGTAGCATACGGAGTAGACAATCATACGTTCTATTTGTCTATGCTATGTATCACTAGAGGATGTCTAAGATAAATGAAACATGTCGATTCTACAGAGTTTAGAGAATAAAAAAGGTGCAATTTCCGTAACGAAGGTTCTGGTTAATTTCCAGCTCCTGCTATCCGCACAGTTACCATCAATACATAGATCGAGACTACTGGTGGCAAGACCACAAGGGAAGTTGAAATTGAAAAAGAGACTCAGATTATTTATGGCACCACAAAGATATTGTCAATCTAGGGATTAAGCTCCGGGTTATCTGCTTAAATGCCGGGATTGAACGGTTTATCCATTTCATTCGATGATAAAATGACCTATGAATTCAGAGCATATCCGAATTTTCGATGGAGATGTAAAAAGGGGCAGCCTCTGCCGGGAAAACTTTAGTGTACCGCAGTATTTTCATCGCCGTCCTCCTTATCATTGCCCCCATTGTCTTCATCATAGTTCTTGTTAGCGTTGTCTTCGGCCTCCAGCAGAGAGCTGTACCACTGAATAGCGGCATCTCTCTGGTCCTTGGACTATCGACACGATGGTTCCGTCGCAACTTGAACGCCATGTCTTATCAGGTGTTGACGAAGCTTGGTGGTGGAGGAGATAGGGACCTGGGTACAATTAAAAACCAGCTCGGAGAGTCTTAGCATGAGTGCACTGACATGTTTGCGTTGGCAACTCGGTACACGACAAAAGATCTCGCCATGATACACAGTGACTTGACCAGCGGAGTTCTGTTCCCCTAAAAAACTTTTCTGTTGACTCTTCTGCATATTGACTTACGGTCGTGTAAGGTGGGAGCATGATCTCCCGGGCCTCGGCCCTGATAAGGTACTCTCTGTAGGCATCGCAGCTTCGTAAAAAGGAGGGACAGTTGTAACTGTCTAGTAAGGGATCAGGGAGAGCCATTTTGAAGTCTGTCCCGATGTCAAGGTTGCTTTCGGATAGAATAGAGGTGAGGTGATGGAAGAGAGCTGAAGAGAAACCTTGGAAAGTGGTTGATCAAGTGAGATGGGCAACTCCTAATCAACTTCCATCTTTCCCTCTTCGACCTCTTCTCTTCTCTTCCTCTCCAATCATCCTCTTTTTTCTTTTGAAACTTCAACTATCTTGAGTCTGCTCGGTATTCGTCCCTTAACCCTTACAACCAACATGGACTTCTCATTCGCAAGCCCAAGTAATGTGACACTCACTATCATTGAAGAGCCGAACGAGAACAACGACAACAAAACAAAGACAGCCTTGTTTCACGTTGATCGTTCAAAATTGATTGAGAGCAGTGCATACTTTCAATCAATGCTCTCATCTCGGTGGGAACGAGCCGGAAACCACAATCAAACCCTCAAAGGTGACACAATCCAAGAGCATGGAAGTTGTGTTGGGATCGATCCACGGATTCGACATCAAGCCAGAGTCGGTCTCTGTTACAGAAGTTTGGCACACAATCAGGGCTTGCAATAAGTACCTGGTAAATTCCAAGAAGCTGATGGGGTGGTTCACACGCTGGATCAAACGGATTGACCAGGAAAAACCTGCGAGATGGGAAGATTGGTATTTCAACCGCCAGCTTCTATTTCCTGAAATTTTTTTGATCATGCAAAGGCGTTTCAGCACATTTCAAAAAGACTTGTCTACACCACCCGGGGCAGGTCACAGAAATGGCCCTGACAGACTCGCCAGAATTTGAGCCAATGCATATGCCCCCTATCGTCATGTGTAAGTTGATATAACTCACAGGTTAAGAACAAATGGCTTTAACTCTCAAAAAGAGCAGTTGAATGCAGCCAGAGGGCAGCTCCGGATGGTTCTCCAAAAATCGCTTTTCAAAGATGTGAATGTGACCATCGATCATGCTCGTTTTCCATGTGCGGCTCAGACCATCTTCTCCTACATGAAAAGAGCTACATAGGATCGGGTTCAAGCCGTTGGAAAGTGACATTCACAAGAATTGCGTCCGTGATATTCTTGATCGACTGGGGAACTTCGATGAAGCCAGGATGGCAAACACGCAGCGACCGATGAAGGAATGCATATTGTGCTCCCGCTCCTCGAAAGCCGTTGTGTATAACGCACGAGAACAGATTGGGGGCTACTTTGATGGCCTGTATATAGATTGCATGAAGAACCATCCCGACGAGAATTCTGAGTACTAGTCTTTCGGCATCAAAAGATCCCGGTATGACTACAATTGCCGCATCAGCCATGGCGAGCCGACCTGGTACTTCAGTTTCATGGGCCGTCGCGACACAAAGTCCATACCGCATGCCATGCTGAGTGAACAAGAAGGATAAATCTCGACTCCATGAGTATATTGATCCCTTACCCTGAGATTTTGTCAAGCAATCTATTCACGTTTCTCTTCCTGGCAACTTGATATCCACCATTTCCTGAGTGCCGCAGCCATGTTTATGACAAGGTCACTGATCTTTCGATCGGTGGCAGAGATTACTACAATGCTACCCTTGAGTCATAAATCGATGAACATATGTTTGAGTCATATCGTTTTGTTAACAAAATGCCAAATCGGGTATCGATCACCAAGTCTCTGATGCAAGGGCCCGAGAGCTCTCCCAATACTATCCCAGGTATTAAAATATTGATTTGCAGTCGGATAATTAAGACATATCCCATGCCGGACGGGGGAAAATAGGTGTCTGATTTACGTAAATTTATGTCCACGGGTCAAGGTATGATGACATTGCCCGGGCGTTGCGAGGCTGGTTTTAGGTGATTGGCAGATAAAAACAGCGCAAAGAGACAAACATTTCGTCTTTCTCTAATAAGTCAGAACCCCTTTCATGGAATTATACAACAGGCAGAAGCGAGAAGACAAGAGACTTAAACGATCGAAAACATGACTTTCGTATACCGCCTCCGAGATAGTGCGATATATTGTGGGGAAGGATTTTCTGTTCCAGCCCTCGGCTGCACGAATTAATAGAACTCCTGGGGGTTTTGTTTGTGCCTCGCCGAGCTAGTGTCGAAATGTGAGATAATGAGGCTGATTCGTCCCCCATAGGGGCTCAGCCCCAGTGTATGAGGTGCAAACAACTCCGCCCGTGCAAGTCACTAGCACGTGTCGTGCCTTATACCCGGGCAACCATATGAAATCATATTTCCCTATATATGTCCTTCTGTACCCGTCTGTGACCATCCATCCATCATGATTCCGGCTCGTCGGGGAACTTCACAGAAGATGAGCTCCAAAAATCCGCAGCGTCCTCTTCGATCCAAAAGCAATCCCACCACTCCCGCCATGCCAGAAAGCAAGCCGGTACAATACACACCCAAATGTAAGATTTCAGCGTCAGTTATCGCGATAAGGAGTCTGACCACAGATTAGGCACAACTGATGAATACATCAAAGCTATCGCATACCATTCTCGGCAACCCAGCGCTGAGACGTTATATCCCGGAGAGATTTATGATACGCTAAAACAATTTCTTGAGCAGAAATCAAATATCGTACCAAGCCCTGCAAGCCACGGGTCCAAGGATTTCGCATGGCTCATCAGCCCGAGCCAGCTGGGCCAGCAAGCTTCGGATAAGCATTGCTGGTCGGATAGCAATAGGAATCGAGAACAGTCTGAGGGATTTGCTGATCCGCAGTCGTGCATAGAGGCATTGAGAACTAGAATCGAAATATCGCATCCACAAGTGCTATTCCTACGGGGCCATCCTTCGCCGAGCTGGCTTTCAAGTATTGGCGCCTATTGTTGCGCCGATCCCGAGCTATTTCGCTGGTTTCTTAGGTACCGTGCAGGACCAGGGAGTGACTATTATTTTGACTCGGCTCCTTCAATCATGAGTAACATATTCCGCTTCAAGTTCTTTACCATCGGATCCAAGAACTATCGACGTCGATCATCTCAGGAGGAGGTAGACGCCTTACGCGGGAGGGCATTTAACGATCTTCAAAGGTACCAGGCTGAGTTAAGGGGAAATTGGGCGCTGAAGCCAGGGGACTCGATTGTGCGGAATTTCCATGTGCTAGATGAACGGCATTGCGTCATTGAACAGGAGATCGTGGTCTCCGTATTTGATGTTGGAAAAACGTGGATGGGTATGATTTCTAGAACGACCTTGATCGATATATTTGCTGATTCTTATAGCCATCGCCTGTACAGATGCGGGACACGACCTCTCTCAGGGGCCAAGAATCCCCTGGCTCGAGGGTGGTGCTGAATCATTACCAATCACACTTCTCCCAATCGTTCAATATAGACCGAGGTGCGCGTTGAAGTCCCGCAGTATAAACGAGAGTAATGAGCCGAAGAAAGGAAAGAATACGCAAAGTCTCGCCATCTTTCCGGAAGGTTACGGGCGTGGTCTAGATTGGTCGCTTGCAAAATCAGATCGGTTTCATATATTGGCGGACGTGTTCAGACTATCTGCCTTCTCTCAGAAGCAGCTCCTAAATGTCATGAAAGAGAAAATAAGGTCCGAAACAAACCGCCTATCGCTCAGTAATGAGAACCCAACATTGGTCAACCTGCTATACTTTCGGGATATCCTACAAGATCAGCTAAGCAACACTTCGTATATGCTTCAGTTGACAAACGACAAGAACAATATCCTCCAAAATGGTCGACCCAGCATAGCCGATGACGCCATGGCTGAAGTGTACAGTCTATTCCAAGATCTGCACTTGCAAGCACAATCACTTCATGAGAAATGCACCCAAGGAATGACAGTCATCAGTAATAATAGCATGTTGGCAGAGTCACAACGCGCCATCCAACAGGCGAAGTTGGTTACGAAGCTTACAATCGTCGCCTTTGTGTACCTCCCGTTCACGTTTACGGCTGGTTTCTTTGGTATGAACTTCAAGGAGCTGGGAAGTGATATGCCCTTATGGACATTTTTCGCTGCCTCGGCGCCTCTGATGTTTATCACTATGGCGGTATTTGCATTGGATATGCAAACAATCAAGAGAGTCTTACGAGGATTTCATGCATGGGACAAAACATATTTGGTTTAAGAGTTGAAGCACTTGTAATTGAAATATATTGGGGCTCTGCTCTTTCCCCTCTATCATCTCTGACCGGTCGCGTGTCATGTGGTAATTGGATGATTATTTTGACCAAATCTGCTCAGGTGCAGGGAAGCCCGAGCGGGAATTTCTAGTCATCTGGACAATGGATTATCAAAACTACTACGGCAAAACTTCTTCCATAATTTCTACCTTCCGAGAGTTCTATAGCCATGACCGAATCATCAGCCAAAGTCACCAGAAGAGGTTTTCACAAGATTCGTGTCGGTCCGAAAGTCGGAACTCTGTATGTCGCAGTCCCCTATATTTCGCACCTAGCGGGCAATAAACGGTAGTTGACCCGCGGCAGTTTACTCACTGTGGGTGGAGTAGGAACAACACCTCCAGAGCATTGGACAAACTCGAAAGGCGACCTGTGGCTGGGCACGCTAAATGCACCTGACATCGGGATCCTGTCCTTCCCAAACAGACTTGCAGCAAACGGTGTCCTATCTGGGAGGGAGATTGAAGAAGAAGGTGCTTCTCTTCTCGCTGAGTTGTATCGTCTCGCCGAAGATGAGACTGTACGTCTTTCCTCTAGGCTATGGGGCAAAGCTGAACGCTCTAGGTGACACAATGTCCGATTGTTCTGGTAGCTCACAGCTTAGGTGGATTGATTGTGAAAAGAGTATGTCTCTCGCCATAAGAAAAGTGTGGTATTATGGCTGAATCATGCAATTATCTAGGCCATATGTCAGGCAAAGCAAAGCCCAAACACCTATCGGCATTTGATACGCAAGATTGCTGGTTTCGTTTTCATGGGATGTCCGCATTCCTCGTCCCAAGAACTAAAAGACTGGGCCGGAGTCGAAAGCATTTTACAGAAATTTACTAAAGGAAGGTATAATCCCCTGGATCTACAATGTGTTCAAAGTTTGGCTGTGGATTGTGAGAACTTTCGGGTTATTCTGGCCGAAGACGGGAAGCAAGTGTTGACCGTGAGTGAAAAGAAAGGAATGAGCAAACAAATGATTGGAAAAAAAGTTTTAGTATGTTTGCTTTCTTATGATTGTACCTTCCTTTGGGGCGAGACTAATGACAGACAGTTTGTTGACAGGTACTCGGCAACCATTGGCCATGACCAAGAGACTGTAATCGAGGACGACTCCAATCACCGGGACCTCTGCATTGTGTCGGGTGGGAGCAGTACACTTGACAGGATATTTGATTTTCTCCATCTAGCGCTGGATGACACGAGAAAAACCCTCGCAAAAGACTCTCCACGATGTGAGTAAAATATTGAGGATTTCATATTATGTTAGGACTTTGCTCACAGGAAATTAGACACCGGACCCTCCGTCTTCGATGAATCCACTGTCAGAGAGCAAAGCAGCGATGATGAGGATCTTGCGGGTTCTATAATTGAATCCACGTCTGGTCGGTTAATATATCACATGTGACGCATATATATGTTTGCTGATTAGCCCTTGAAGGCCAGAATCTGCTCCATGGTCCCAATGTGTCCATTCTAGCAACGTCAGAACCAGCTTCCTCGACTAATCTCGGATCGTGGACCAAGGACGCTACCGCAGGCAGTGATAAGATCAACCCCGAACTCATCTCCGCCTTGAAAGATTTCACCATCGAATACCGAGATCCTATTTTGCCGTGCAAGTCCATTCTATTGCCCAGAGATCCCGTTTTTTCTGGGCGCGAGGACACGCTAGCAAGCATTCGGCAGACCCTTGTAGTCTCTGCACAAGAGTCTGAAAATGGGTCCAATGGCTCTCTTGGCGAGATAATCCCGTCGCTTAACGTTTACTCTCTCTGTGGTCCAGGTGGAATGGGGAAAACTTCCATCGCCAACGAATTTGTTCACAGGTATGAGAAGGACTTCGACGCTGTTTTTTGGGTTGCAGCAGACGAGGAGAGCAAACTCTTTAACGGCTTTCGAGAGATCGCTCTAAAGCTCGGCATCATTTCAAACACTGATGGCAAAGATCTGCCAGCAATCCGAGAGATGCTCTTAGCATGGCTTGCCAACCCTCTCAGGTCATATGAGCATATGGACCACGTGAAACCAGAAAGAGCATCTTGGCTCATCGTGTTCGATAACGTAGATCGCGCTGATACACTTGAGGAATTTTGGCCAAAAGACGCTGCCGGTTCAGTTCTGGTTACCTGTCGGGACCCATTGATCAAAAGCTCCATCTATTTGAGGAACACTGGAAGCATTGTTCCCGAGCTACTGGAAGAAGAGGGGATAACTCTACTGCTTCGGCTCACTAATCGTGAGAGCGATGAGGATGATGTAATGCAGGCGCCTAGGGTTGTTCAAGCCTTAGGCAGATATCCCCTTGCCATTGCGCAAATGTCTGGAGTCATACTAGCTCGAGACCTCGGCTTTAACGAATTCCTTGAGTTATATTCTGAGGAGACAGAACGACGAGAGATTCTTGGAATCTCAGAAGGACAATCAGCTTCTCTTCGCAGATACAATCAGACGCTTGGTACTGTCTGGAACCTGGATGACTTGAAAGAGGGCAGGGCCCTACTAGAAGTCATATCATTCCTCGATCCAGACAGTATCCCAGAATCGCTTTTAGAAAAGAACCCGGCATGCATGGATTGGGATCGCTATCCCAAAACCTCATTGGAATACTCAAAGGCTCGTGCCGAGCTACTTTCTAGGTCGCTAATTTACAGAAATCGGGGCAAAAAGACCTTACGTGTCCACCGGTTGATACAAGATACTGTGAGGACTCAAATGAATGATGCAACATTCAACGAGGTATACTCAAAAGTGCTGGACATGCTTGGTGCTCGTTGGCCGAAGGTTTTCAAAGGCTTCGGGAATGTACAAACGGACTGGCAACAAAACTCGGAGCTCTGGGCCCACGTTCTCTCACTGTTCAAGTATCGGGATCGTTTTAGCCCGGGCGCTGCTTACCTCGCTACTGCGATCAAGCGGATGCACTTTGCCCTAGATGTCTTGATGTACGTGAATGAGAGCTCATGTATGATGGATAAACTGACAGATAGATCAGATTTAGCATTTCAGATTCTCGATTCAGCGCTTCGCCGATAATCCTGTCCTTTTTCAGTTTCTTGAGAGACGCAGTGAGCGGAGAGGACCCAAGTCATGAGCTGCAAATGATTGATGCTACTTTCCACTACTGCCGAGGAGAACTCGGTTTGCATATCAACCACCGTGAACATCCTTTGCCCGATTTCAGCCAATGCGTCAAAAAGCTGGATACATTACTAGGCGACGATGCCAAGAAAGCTGATTCATTCTTTGGGGTCGCAGTGAACGAGCTCGGTTGTGCCTACTTGATGAATTGGAAGAACGATGAGGGTCTGGTTGAATTCGAGAGATCACTCACTATTCTCCAGAACCTGAGCCAACCTTCAGCACAGGAGATTACTATGGCCCAAATCAATGTGGGATTTGTTTATGGTTACCTTGGACGGTATGATGAAGCTTTGCAGATATTCGAGGTTGCCTTGAAGGAGCGTCATACAAAGCTAGGTCAGGATGACTATTCCTCCTTTGTGTAAGTGGAATCCACCTTAATACTTGCTGCGATCCTAACAATACAGGAATGGAAAATTGTACATGGGCTGGGGGAATGTTCTGGCTGCACAGGGTCGGCTTGACGACAGCTTCAAATTACACGTCAAATGTCTGGAGCATTACAAACGTTCGGTTGGCAATTCTCACCATCGAACTGGTGACGGGTGTGTAAAGGCTTCAGATCATTTTGCTCGCACGGGAGACGGCCCTACAGCGTTGTAAGTTCCACAATCTTAGTTTCACTACGGCCGCTAATTTATGAAGAGCGCTGCTTGACCAAGCCCTCAAGATCTTCAACCTTGACACTTATCACAGACCCGAAGCTGCCAGAGCTCACTACAAAAAGGGAAATGTCATGAAGCAGATGGACCAAGAAGACGAAGCCAACAAGGAAATGGACACGGCTCTCGACATCTTTAACAGTTTTGTTTCCCCTGAGGACCGTGCTAGAAGCATCGATGAGTTAGACGACGAGGACTTTGATCATTGGATCATGTTTTGGTCTCGTTAGTTAGGAACTCCTCTATTTGCCCCGTGCGATAACCAGGCGATAACCCAATTTACGAACGATATTTAGCAAGTTGGTTCGAATATGAGATTGGTTTTTATTCCACTTTGATCATAGGCTGCATGGGCTGCCTTGTGGAATACATGCTATGACGTCAGATTAGGAAAGAGATCAAGAACGTGACGGAAAAGGATGTCTTAAGAAAGCATTCATGGGGGATATTCAAATTCTACCTAGTGAGCAACGTAAACACGGAAGTGCCATTGTGCCGTTGTGGCCCATGGTGATCATAACCCAAATGAAAGTGGTCGAGGTAGATCTAGGATGAGTAATTGTGGGTGAGTGAGTGATCATTAATGGTATTGGAATGTGAAAATATACAGTTGGTTGTGATGTTTAATATACAAATAGCCAACCCGCGGACCTTGGAATAAAAGAGGCTTATAGCAACTATAAATTGCGGGTAGATGCTGTGGACCAATGATCCTCGCTTGAGCCATCATGAGTCATGGTGATTAAGTTGCACTAATCCATTTTGGACTTGTGCTAACCCCAAAACGGATTAGTGCGGGCCGGGCCGGGGTGAGAATATCCCAAACATAGGTACCCAGTCCACTCTAGTAGTATATAATGTTCTTGTCTCTCTTTGTTCGTCTCTCCCAATTCCACCCCCTTGTCCTCTCAACTGCCACAGAAAATGGCTGAGAAATATCCCATCGAGGATATGCACGCCCCCGAGGCAAACAGCCTGCCGGCTGGCGACAGCGACTCTCGAGCAGACGATGCGACCGACTACGAGCTGACTGGGATTCCACTAGTCCTGGTCATGACTGGACTTGGTCTGTCTATATTTCTCATGTCACTGGACTCGTCCATCATTGCCACGGCTATTCCCCGGATCACATCACAATTCAACAGTACCAGTGACATTGGCTGGTATGGAAGTGCATACTCCTTCGCGATGTGCGCTTTACAGCCTGTCGCAGGTAAACTGTTTGCAAGCTTTGCGATGAAGGTGAGACTATCCAAAGCTTTCGGTTGGAGATGAAACCCCCATTAACTGTATTAGGGCATGTTCCTCGGTTGTCTTGCCGTCTTCGAACTTGGCTCATTGCTCTGCGCCCTTGCCGTTAACAGTCCTATGCTCATTGTCGGACGTGCTATAGCTGGAATTGGGGCAGCAGGATGCTTTACAGGAGCCTTCTGTATTGTTGCGGTTTCCATCCCACTGGTCAAGCGACCCTTCTATATTGGAATACTTCAGTCAACCTTCGGCATTGCCACCATCATCGGACCCGTATTAGGTGGTGTATTTACTGAACATGCGACGTGGCGGTGGTGTTTCTGGATCAATCTCCCCATCGGTGCTGTCACCATCTTCTCATTAGCCTTCTTCTTCAAACCGCCTACGCGAGACTCGACGAAAGCTCCTTCAGTTCTTCGCAGACTACAAAACTTGGACTTGCTAGGCGCTTCTCTTTTCGCTCCAGCCATTATCATGATTCTTTTGGCTCTTCAATGGGGAGGGACTGGGTATGCTTGGAAGAGTGCTACCATCATTGGTCTCTTCATTGGAGGCGCAGGTCTCGGCCTTGTCTTTGCTCTCTGGCAAATACGAAGGGGTGATAGTGCCATGATTCCGCCGCGTCTGATTAGTGAGCGAACGATGTTCTTCTCTTGTTTCAGCGAGTTCTTCGCCATGGGTGCTGTTTATATTTCGATCTACTACCTTCCTGAATGGTTCCAGGTCATCAAAAATGCCTCGCCAACGAAATCTGGAGTCATGTACCTCCCTTTAGCGCTGTCAGATGTTCTCTCTGCAACCCTAACAGGCGCCTCACTTAAGTACCTTGGATACCCAAATCCCTATATGCTTCTTGGAACTGGCTTGATGAGCATAGCAACGGGGCTCTTCTCTACTTTCTCCCTAAACACTCCCCACCAGCAGTGGATCCCATTCCAAGTCCTTCAGGGTCTTGGTGTGGGAATGACTCTCTCAATGCCCTATGTTGCGACACAAACAGTCCTCAAGCCCGAAGATATTCCTGTTGGTACCTCATTACTACAATGCTTCCAATTCTTCGGGGCTTCCGTGAACCTCGCCATCGCGGAGGCTATCTTTGAGAACAAACTTGTCTCGCGACTGGAGAGTTGGGGATTTGCAAGTCACGAGATAGAGAACATTATCAGTGCAGGGTCCGCCGAAGCAAGGAGCTTGATTTCTGCGGCGCAGCTTCCAGGCGTGTTAGATGCATACAACCATGCGATCACCGGGACCTTCTACGTCGCAACCAGTGTTGCCGCTGTTGCTTTCATCCTTTCACTCGGCATTCGCTGGAGGAGTGTCAAGCCGAAACCCCAGGCTGCTGTCTCTGATAACGAGGCTAGTTCGTCAGGCCAGTAGTCTTCATTGGCACCGATTAATTCAAGAAAACATAGAAGACGAAGGGCTCTGGGATGTGAGCCTGAGGGTATTGTAGATATAGATAATCACACCTTGCAGCTCAAATTACTATTTATATATTTTTAGAATAATGATGCATAATTAACCATTTTTTGATACAAAATATGAAAATGTTGTAGGTTGAGATGGGCGGCTAGGGAAGGAACTCAGGGACCCATCACATCGCCTCTAGTCTGTAGAGAGGGTAGAGGGTATCGACGGTGATACCGCTTTTTATTACTCAGCTAGGACTATAAATATTAGTGAGGATATTGTTGAAATGATTCGACGGGCGGATAGAGGTGAAGAAACGTGGGAGAACGCGATAAACTGTCATGGCATTACTCCACGACAGAGTGTAAGAGCCCTACATGATCTTGCGGGATGGTCGATTATGATTGGAATATCACCATAAATAAAATCATGCTTCATGATACTCAATTCAATTCAGGAATATAAGCAACCTAGGGCCAAATGGCCAAATGGCAATAAGATTCGAAGAATTAAGCCATCCCCCATTGCTCAAGCCAGAGGCTTATCCACCGATCACTGACTGCACCGACTTGACCTAAGCGAGGGAATCGCTCCTCAATCATTGTTGTATCCAGGGTCACAGCTTTCTCAGATCTGGCCAGTCCCTGGAAGAATCCAAGAAGACGAAGACCAGGATTTGAGCGAGAACCCGGTTTATCGATGCTCTGTGACAAACGATGCACCCAATCCCGTAGGGAAACAACCTCCAGAGGTTCGCTCGACCCAAGGCGCTGTGCCAACAGGGGGACAATATCTGAAAATTGAATTTGATGTGGATTGACCAAATTGTAGTATCTTATGTTAGTTGAATTATCCCTTTCATAGACTCTCGGGCTACATATTAGATCGGAGAGGAGTTCAGCGACGGTGTCGACTGGTATCCAGTCAATCTGGTTTCCACTGCCGAGCGTCTCTGGAAGACAGTCAAGCTGTACGGAGGCCTCTAGGAGGGTTGGAAACCAGTCACGGCGCGGCCATGACATGTGTTGGCCTTCTGGCCACTCCTCGATAGGACCGGCGACTTGGCCTAAGCGGAAAATAGTGGATCTGACACCAGCCGAGTTGACGGATTGGTCCAAGAGTAGACTGGCGATGAGCTTGCTTTCCCCATAGCCTGTCTCTGTAGTCTCAGGGGATCTCAGGGTTTCTTCTGGGACATCCCTGTCTTCTTTCCAATTCCTCACTGTAGCGATAGAGGACAAGAATATGACTTGAGAATTGTGTTTGGACGCGTGGGCAAATTGAATCAAACCAACAATGCCCTTGATATTTGATTCGAAGTGGGTCAACGGCCGGTTGAAGTCAACTGCCCACTGACAATGCAGAATATGCGTTACATTGTCCTGCAGGTCATAGTAGGTCTTCTCGGAGAGTCCTAAGAATGGCTCCGACAGGTCCGCAACCTTGAAATTTAGTTGGACGGAGTGATTCTTACTTTCATCACCGGGGAAGCGTTGAAGACAAACTTTCGACTCGTTTGCTCCACTTCGATTGAGACAGGTTATTTGGCTGACTACTTGGCGGCGAAGAAGAGATCTTAATGTATGCGACCCAACAAACCCGGTACTACCAGTCACAAGGACGTGATGACCACTGTTGGTGGAAACATTTGGTTCCAAGTTTGCAGGAGTATCGGGTATTGTCTTGGAGTATCTAGTTACCCATTTAGCATACACCACAAGTATCACATTAAGCATCGGAATAAGTGCTGACCTTTGTAAAACCTCCTGGAATTCGCTTGTCTCTTCCAAATCATGACCAGGTGGGTTTTGAGACGCCGTCAAAAATTTCGCGAGCTTTCGAGGTGTTGGGTTGCGGTAAACAGCATCGACTGTAATATTGCGCTCTGGTTGTCCAGTCTGGCGCACAAGAGCCTTTCCAACGACGGCAGCTAGTATTTGTGCTTGTCCGGAATCAAACCCTGCAGCAAAGATATCGGTCTGTTCGTCCAACTCGCTGTCATTTGCCATAATTTTTTCAACCAACCGAGTCAGGTCGGATGCAAGCGAGTCTTGGGAGGTCATATCTAAACTAAGATCATTCAAGCCCTTCGCGTTCGAAGGATCCGTAGAACGGTATAGGTCATTGATCTCAGCTTTGTAGAGCTCAAGTGTCTTGTTACGATTGACAGTCCCCTTTGGTGTTCGGATAAATGCTCTATCTGGGACAGCAATGAGAATCAATTCCTCGTCGATCTGCGCATCTCGGGAATTTTGATCATTTTCAATGCCCACCGCCTCTTTAAAGGGCCCTTGCAGCTCAAATGGGAGACCACTGTCGTAGCTCAGACTATGGTCAGGGTCGTCGAGCTCGATTAGCATTCCTGGACGCAGTTGCTTGTTGCCGATCACCAAAGCGGCTTTGATTCCGGGAATGCCACTGACTCGACTTTCGACTGGTATTGGATTCATCTTCTCACCAGTGGAGAAGACGACCAAGTCATCAATTCTGTACCGGTACTCCCAATAATCCGGGATTGATGGGTGCTTTCGGAACACGTCTTTCGTAGACCATTCGTCGAGGTCAGGAAAGTTTTCGAAGACGCCTTGATATGGTTTGCACGAATTATGCCGATGGAGAACCAACTCATATTCAGTCGGTTGTTCTTCTGAAGACTCAAATACTGGCCGCCAGTGTATGCCATTTGAGGCGTGGAAGTGGCAATAGTTCCAGTGTGCTGGATCAGTTGGATACTGAATCAACGATCCACATTCGGTGCTTCCCAAGCCCACAAACAGTCTCATTTTTGTAACGATTATGTCCCCCGAGTTTTGAGCAACTGAGCCTATATACAAGTTCAAGTCAGTTGTCGCCTCATTTCACCATTGCTTCGTGACGTAGGGTTTAATACCTCCGCCTGTGAAGATGCAGCGGATCTGGGATATGTCTTCCAGCACCTCAGAATCTCGCGCTATATCGTCAATGATAGAGGGGGGATGAAAGCCGCATCCAAAGATTTGACTCTAAGTGCATCACGTAAGATGTAAATATTTGGGGGCTGACGAGGATGTCCAAAAAGAAGAACATTGCCCGAAATTAAGATATAACAGCTTAACATAAAGCCCGCAACATGGAAAAGAGGGAAAGCGACATAGACAACTTTGCATTCCGACAGAATTTCAAGCTGACTCTTCATAGCCTTGGAATCCATCTGGGATATAAGGCGATGTGCATCGATCGCGGCTAACGCAGAGTGGGTGAACGGTACAAGCTTGGGCATGCCCGTAGATCCGCTTGTATGCAATATCTTTTCGCTTGTTAGGAGTCGGGGTGTAAGCGGAAAGTAATCTAAACAGAGGACTTACCGCTATTGGAAGATATGATAGTGTACTCCAACTTCCCTCGTATGGGTAGTGCTCTACTGGGTCCAAATTGCCGAGCAATTCATCCAGGCCGTCAACGTGAAGTATCTCGATTTTTCGTTTCTGGGAAATTTTATTCGACGTTTCCGCAAACTCCGTATCATATAACAAGAGCGAACACTGGCACTCTTGCGTGAGGTGTTCGTGAATCGAAATACTTCCTCTTGGGGAAAGCAAAAGAATCTGATTGACTTATTAGACATAGCAATATTGCCGTGCACTAGTTTATACATACTCTGGCTTGTAATTTCGCTGCCGCCAATGTGATTAAAATATGCCTGAAATCACTCGGGCCCAAGTATCTACTCGCGCGTCATATTAGCATCAAAGGCCATATGTAAAATACGGAGTGAGCGAGGCGTACGCAACGGATGCTTGGGATGTAAGACCACCTTTATGTAATTTCCAGCATAGTTTGTTGATCAAATTTACCAACTGCTGGTAATTCAAAGTGACAATTCTTGGCTCATGGGAATCGTCATCTTCTGGGATAAGAAGCTGATGAACAGCTGGCTTGCCCGGGTTCTGAGAGGCTGTGGCTTCAATGTAGTTGAGCAATAGCCGCTCTCCAACTTTTCCATAATCGGGGGTTTTAGTAGTCATGGCAGCGAAAATGGTTTGAATGCTGGTTGTAGATGTTGAGAGGACTTCTCCATTCGTTCGGGATCCTCCAGGGCCGGATTATATATGGATACAGAACCCTCAGCAAAACGTCACACTGCATTTTTTAGTAGTAATCGAATATTCCCTCAAATTTTTTATCTAACTACCAGTGAGAATAATTAAAATATAACCAGACTGCTGTCACTTGGCCTTTGCCATCCAGAAATCTTGTAATTTTCTACATAAGCAAAGGACTGCATATACATTGTGTAACAGGCAATAGTAGGCGAGGAAGTTCTAGATGCTGTATAACCTTACTTGCATAACTAAGGCACGCCTCTCCGATGATCATAAATCACAAAGGTTGAATTCCGGTTCATACCTTCTGGATGTTATGGAAACTGACAGTGATGAACCAAGTTGTCAAACGAGCACGATGGTCATTCAGCTTGGCTCTTGGGCCCCTCGCTGCGCTCCATCCTTGCTCGATTTTCTATTTTCTTTCTTCAAATGCTACATTCACGCTAAATATAGTGTTGAAAACGCTGTGCAGATTCTTCGGATAGGGAATTTACGATAGAAGACAATTTGGGTGAAACAATCGTGGTTAATATTGCGTTTTCCCTCGAGTATCTCTGCAGCTCCATTCAAATTATTTAGAAGAAATTGCCATCATCCATTCATATCGTACTAAAAGAACTCAATACCACCTAATTAATAATAAAGTAATGTGTAGACTGCAGCCTAAAGCGCTTCATGTAATCTCAAGCTGCGAAAAGCTGCTTGAAATAGTTCTTGACCGAGAGAGTCTTGACTTCTGGGAAAAGATCGTTATTCAACAGCCCTGGAGGCCTCCGGAAAAGGCCCTGGCCTTGAATGTATCTAAGCACCATCAAGAACTCTATGGGAAAAGTGCTGTCTCCTTGTAGTTCTTCAGGCGCCGACGAGGGATCTTCGATAATTTTCTTCATTTCGTCTACGGAAATGACATTCAATTTAACCGGTTTTCCCGAATACCGTTGTAGAAGATGTGCAACTTCCCGAAAGGAGATCAAATCACTTCGAAATCCGAACAATTGGTTTTCTGATCTCTCTGGGTGGCGAAGCGTTTCAACGATGAAATTCGCGACATCCACCCGAGAGGAATAATCCATTTTTGCGTCTGGGTTTCCTACACAATGGATAACACATCTGTTCTTCAAGCGGGACTCATCTTTCTCAATCCACGGACAAAGCAATGGCTCACCAGGCGCGTCATAGGCATCTGCACACCCGACCACAGTGTATGTCATCCGTCCATCGTAAATAGATGGATGATGAAGCGCATCCTCGAGGCACTTCATTTTAAATGCCCAGGTCTATAGGACTATTAGACACTTGCCATGTTACTGAGATATCCAAAGACTTACAGGATTAAGATATACATCCCCATCAGGCAGCCAAGCCACATGATGCATTCCAAACTCACTGGGGTAGAATCGTCTGACTCCAGCTTTTGCCGCAGCATCTTGAACAACACTCTGCTTTGCAAGAAATTCGCCACCCAGAGCGCTGAAAACCACGTCCACCTTCTCATGGGCCAACAATGTTGCAAGGTCATCCGTAGCAACATTCATGAGATCTACTCTCTTGATCAGCGCATTTACTTCCCCGTAGTCGAAGAGGTTGAAATTCGATCCTGGAGAGACAAACGCGACAACTTTGAATACCGGCTCCTTGGAGTTGACCAGGGCTTCAAAGACAGGCTTCCCCATTTGTCCATTGGCCCCAAAGATAGCGATGGTCTTGAAAGGTGGTGTCATGATGTGTTCAAAATTCAGTATAGTCCAGGAACTCTTCAGCAAATATCAGATAATTTTCAAATACGCGGTCGAACTTCAACAGATAATACTTTTCTATATGTCCATCCATTTACAGACCGCTCACCACTGACTGCTTCAGTCTCTGAGTAGACTCTTAATGATGCAGGTAAACTATTGTAAAATTGACATTCTGAGATCAGGAGGTCCCTTTGGACCGATGCGTTGCATTCTGCAATGCTTTCAAGGCTTTTCGTTGCATGTACAACCCTGTCGTGCTATCTATATGATGAATTCAATAATAGTTTACTCAATCTCCCGATGCAGGTGGACATATCATATACACACATCCCTGCGAGGGTAAATTTCCACCAAAAAACACCGTGTGATATATAATGCAAATATTATACATTTATTTAATCTTTCCTGTCTGGGAATTACATCGGTATGTTCGCTTATTCAAATTTGGCGATCACCGCGGGTTAGAGTTGCATACTCACACCCGGGGCCATGAACATGAACGTTCGGGCTCGAACCTCGCCTACTCATTTGTATATTGGACCCGATGGCCGGAATATAGCCCAATAAGTGTTTTGTAGGCATCATGGAGGAACGACAGGTGATCAATCAAAATCCAGTCCTGGATGTGACGTGACAATTAAGTGCGTTGAGATTATATTCTACAGAGGTGAATTTGGACTGGTTACGATCCTAACATGTCTTTGAATTAAGTGAAGCAAGGATAATTGACGGAATAAGTTACTTATGTGGTCATATAACTAGCATGGAAATTCTATGTCAAGCTTGAGAACCACCTAGGCACTCTCCAGGGATTCTCTCAGCAAATACGGCAGGTTTTTAGTTCCATCCTAGATATTTCCAAAAGAAAAAAGGAAAACCACTCTCCTAATCACTTTCAAGTTTCACACAGCGGGAGACCTCTAGGCCATCCTGTTTATATTTAGTAGTGTCTCTGAAGGCGTTCGCAGGGAAAACTCACAGGTTCACCAGTTGGCCCCCAACTTTCAATCAGAGTAGTGTCGTAGGTCAAGTATGGGTTCCCCAGGGATATTTCTTTACTTGGATCTTCCAAGGAAGTCATCTGTGCCTTTTGCTCCTGCTGCATACGGTAGATCTTGCCCGCGATCGGCTCTTTCACGTAGGCCCGGTACTCGGGAACTCCTGGCCAAATCACATTATCGGCGATCACAGTTGTCCCGGGTCTCACCAGACTGAGCTCTTCACATAGCTTCAAATCATTGACATAATGAATCTTTGCATGATCAATGAAGAGCACATCAACTGCGCCAGTCGGGTAAGTCTGCCGGATTTGACGGAGAGAGTCCCGACAGGGACCCACGATGATTTCTACTACGTCGTCCAATCCGGCAAGTTCCACCAAAGCCGCAGCTACAGCGGCAAACTTAGGGCTTGCCTCGAGACTCAAATATTTGCGGCCACGAGCGCGCTTTAGTGCACTGCCGAAGAACAAAGCAGAGTATCCCACATAGCCTCCCAACTCAATCATGAAATCGGGTCGTAACTCGGGAATCAGTTTCTCGGCCACAATTTTGCCCTTTTCCCAGCCAACATTCATGAGGAAGTCATGTTTATGTCCGTACTCATCAATTGCGGCCATTATTATCTCTGGTTTTCCTTGCATCGATTTGTAGTTTGGATGAGATTGAATAAATTCCAGGAGTCGCTCTTCCCGGCCGTCATCATACTATTCAAGATATCAGATTTTGGGAACGAGTGGGGAGAAGCACAAATTGGGCACACATAAATAGCCCCCTCAGGCTTATAGGCTTCTCTCTGGTCTTTTGTCATATTGAATGTCTGCTCAAAGATTCTTCGAGTTCAAAGGGCGCTATGTTGCGATTCGGAATAGTTCTTGGTGGTAAAGTCGTGAAATCTCAATTTATTATATAGCTTTTACCTATGTTGTACGGAGGCAGCAAAATTTTCCTATTGCTTGAATCGAATGATATCATAATTCTTTGAAGCCTCGGTTTTCGAAGCGGTTCTCCGTCTCGATCTGTGGTGTTTATTTTTGATGGAATATAATTTCAATGATGATCACATTCTATTGAGACGAATCATAATACAGAGGCACACCAGATAATTCAATGTGTGCAGTTGCAGCAACTCGTGATGCAGAGTTCTCGATCTCTTGCAGGACAAGATGATTTACTGTCGATCTTACCCCTTCGAGGTACCTGCCGCTGAAGAAATATCGACGTATAGTTTAGGAAAACATCCAGGGTTTATGCCAATACAGCCTTGACTCATGCCGTGCTATGCAGTATGCAAAACGCCGAATGTAATTTTATCAATGAGCATACAGATGGACAACACCAAGAAGAAGCACAGTCTGGGGGAAACTTTGTGAAAAAGCAAAGGTTGGGTCTCAAGCCTACGGGATATAGTCCCCAGCCCCGGGAGATCAGATGATATTTGAGCGATAAATGTTCAATTCCCTAAATTCTGATCTACTTCTTCAAATGGGCGACTTGATTCGCTGGATAACGGATACCCCTTATATCCCGCGTCTGTGGTTGTAACATTAGAGTGTCATGCTGGTTGCCCTCTGCAGTGGTTCCATCAATTTTCCATCGCGAATGGCAGTATATATCACTGAAACTCGTGTGCCAATGGTCTTGTTGTCCTTTGCATTTTCGCTATCTCCGGGATGGTCCCCAAGTCCTTGGTGTAGAGGAACATGTAGGGTTTGACGCACCCAGAGATAAATTTCCTTCGTCGATGTAGCCAAATAGTGAGGAGTCGATTGGTTACTGAGGAACTGGTGGCGGGTTTTCTCATGCGCCTTCTTCAGAAGAGATGCAACCCTAGCCCTCCATTTGGGAAATAATGTCAATGAATCAAAAGACAAAGATGACTCGGAAATTGTTATCTGATCGACGGCACAATGGGCTGAGTCCGCTGCAACTTTCTCGCACCGTGTTTCAATCTCGTCCGAGTCATTATGCGCATCCCACGATTCAGTGATAGCATCCCATAGAGTATCAAAATCGGGAATTTCCCCAGCACACCATAGCTCTTGGTAGAGGTCGCGGAGAGCTACCTTTGCAGTGGCAAAGAAGTCCAGAGTCATGGCTCGTAGATCAAGTGCTTGGCACAGAACGTAGAGATGGGCTGCACACATCATGGTCACAATGTCGACACCTTCCTTAACATATCGGCATGCGATCAGAGCCAGCGAATTGACTGATTGGTTGTTCATATCCGCAACATGCACATGGCTTACAACGGAATTGCTCAAAAATGCTAATTCCGAGAAGTAGGCCGACATATTGATGTCGATGCCCTTGCATGTGAAAGAGGTACTAGGATCATCAAAACAGAGATTAGGTGGCAGTCCCTTGTTGAGATTGGGATTGATGATCTCCTGGCACTGTGATACAATAAGCCTGCCGAGCATCACTAGTGCGGTTTTAGCCTTTTCCATGGCGCTCGTAATAGATGCAGCTTGAAAATTTCCACCATGATGAAACCGATCTCTGGCTACCTCGATCAGTGGGTTATCGGTCGATGAATTTAACTCAATGGTAATCTGCCGATTGGCCAGTAAGAGATCCTCGGTCACAGGGCCAATCCACTGGGGTGCAGTACGCAAAGCGTATCGATCCTGAGCGAGACCTTGCCTATGAACGTTCGTCCTCTCAGCCAACATAGTTCCAGCTAACAACCCACGGATATTGCGGGCCACTTCTATCTGCCCCGGGTGTGGCCGGCACTGCGAGATGAAGTCATCATAATTGTCGATTGATCCGAGAAGTGCCTCTGTCGCCATTGCGGTAAGGACTTGAGTCAAAATAGTGAGGTTGTTGATATCATGCAACGTGAGCGCGGCAGCCGCAGCACTCGGTGCAGTTCCGTTCATGACTCCGAGGCCTTCCTTCGCCCTCAAGGTCAGAGGTGTGATGTTGGCTCGGCGCAGCGCATTCGCGGCTGACATCACCTCAACCCCTTTTTCTGGATTTCCATTGTTGGGGCTTTCCTGTGCCACCTGCACGAAAATGTCGGGACTTCCCTCAATCAATCCACCAAGATAGGCAAGAGGTGATAGATCTCCAGAGGCCGAAATACTACCTCGAAGAGGGATGAGTGGAGTAATTCCAAAATTGAGGGCCTGAATCAAGAGCTCTATAACCTCCATTCTGACAGCAGAATGCCCCCGAAGCAGGGAGTTGCATCGCAGAAGCATAGCACCGCGCACAACCTCTCGTGGCAGGGCGTGGTGACTAGCGTCGTGGGGCATAGTATACGAACTATTCCCATTTTCAGGTAGTGAGAGAAGGACACCTGATTGATGATGCTGTAGGAAGGCTTTCTGGAGCAACTCAAGTTTTCTTGTCCTTGTGTTTGCATTGCCACCGCAGCCAGTATTGACCCCTTCAGTGCATAAAATCGATCAGCAACTACCCAATGAACAGAGTCGAATTCTTTCCCATGTACCGTATATAACTTCTCCGTTATTCAAATGCAAGTCCAATGTGGCAATGCTTTCCTGAATACGAGCCACAATAGGATCGGACTGCAAAAAGGCAGCATCCACTGAGAGCCTAAGAGGATGACATAGGAATCAAAATCTAGACGTAATCAAGTTTATTGGGTAAATCACCTTGCCACCGCAACAATATGGGCCACTTGCAATGATTCAGGCTCTCCATTCAATGTCACCACGCTAGCTCTACCGCTATTCTCATTGAGGGTTTTCCAAGCCCTGCGGACTTCATCAAGGTGAGTTGGCATGACTGTCTTATCTTTGAATTTCTCAAAGATAGCCGTGAGAGAAAAAAGAGAATTCAAGTGTAAGAAGATAGTTGTTTGCGAATGGGATTCGTCTTAGAGTTCAAAGGCATATATTCTGGAATTAGACCAAGATATCGGTTCTTATACTTTCTTTGCACTCATATTATGACCCCCGTACACATTTCCCGATTCAGATTATTCTGTCTCAGAACAAGTGCTTGCACATGCATATTGATAAGCGCTACAATTCTTCAAGCAGGTGATCAACTGTATCACGCTATTACGTCAAAGTCCTGGAAAGGGAAGTGAGGTTCTTGGTTGTGGAGGCATTCAAAGAATTGATGTAACCCCCGGAAGGCTGTAAAGGCAACCTAAGTATGAAGTATAGATATACAGAAATACTAGGCCTGGACTAAACCTTTCAACAACAAGCTCTGATCTCCTTTCTGTGCCAAAATGACGCCAAATGAATTTAATGTCGATGTCCTCATTGTTGGCGCGGGCCCAGCAGGGTGTGTATCCCATGTGAAACTAGTGATACCTCGTTGACACTGTTTTGTAGACTCATGGCCGCGACTTGGATGGCACAAACAGGAATCAAGACCATTTTAATTGACCAGAAAGCACTGAGGACCCAAGCTGGGCATGCCGACGGGGTTGAAAGCCGCACATTGGAGATATTGGACAGTTTCGGACTGGGAGAAACTATCTACAGAGGTGCCAATCTCACAATTGACTTGTGCTTGTGGGTAAGTGAAAATATATCCCTTAAAACTTGGTGAAACAGAAAATAGTCTTCTTTTCTTTCTCTCTTTCTCTCTCTTCCTCTCTCTTTATGTGTGTGTGTGTGTGTGTGTGTCTCTGTGCCTCTGTCTCTAACCTTTGAGTACTATGCAGAATGAGTTGGAGAATGGTGATATACAACGTCAGACAGTACTCAAGAACGCGAGTCGAGGGCTTTCCCGATATCAAGAAGCCACTTATGGGCAGGGAAAGATTGAGGAGACATTTTTGGAACTTCTTCATTCCCACAGCTCAGTCGAGGTTCGATGGAACACAGCGCCTGTCAAATTAGACATTTTGCAAGACTCTACAGAATATCCCGTGCGAGTGATGATACAGACAAAACAATCGAATGCAGAGGTATATACATTTTCCGCTCAACTGAGGACAAAAGCTAATAACTGTCATAGTGTACCTTGGCCACGGTCAACGCCAAATACGTGGTTGGTTGTGACGGGGCCCGAAGTTGGGTCCGAACGAGGCTTGGTCTTGAGCTCGAAGGAGATCATATGAATGAGAATTGGGGGGTTATTGATGTGATACCTGCGACCAATTTCCGTGAGCAAAAGTTAATAGCCCCTTTCCTCCGACTGATCACTGATGCAAACTGAAGCCGACATCCGCAAAAGATGCATCATAAAATCTGAGGCTGGCCACTTGATGATTATACCCCGAGAAGAAAGAATGGTTCGATTTTATGTTCAGCTTTCTCCCGGAGCTGCCGCGTTGTTCAAGGCAGACTATCATCCGGAGACCCTGGTGACTATCGTGAAAGATATCCTGCACCCGTATAGCTTCGAAGCGCCTTACACTGAGTGGTCGACCATATACACAGTTGGTTCAAGCCTGTTGCTCATGGTGAAATAATAAGAATTTGACACGACCTTATATAGGTTGGTCAAAGGCTGTGTCCCGCTCTGTCCAAACATAACCGAGTGTTCCTGGCCGGTGATGCGGTACACACCCATTCGCCCAAGGCTGGAAAGGGCATGAACGTCAGCATCCAAGACACATACAATCTAGGCTGGAAATTGGCTTCTGTTATTAAAGGAAAGGCCACCCCGAGCATTTTGCACACATATCAGGCTGAGCGTGGTGCGGTCGCGATGCGACTAATCGCCTTTGACAAACGGATGGTCTTGGGAATCGGAGAGAAAGTACCGAGATCGGATTCCACCGGCCAAAATGAGGGTACCCTTCGTGCAACTCTCGGGGAAGAAAATACCTCTGAGTCTGGGTCGCAAGCCTGCTATCAACCTGGTCTGCTTGTAACACGAGCATGGGACGACATACCAGCCGGGAAGAGCCATGTGCTAGAACCGATGCTCCCACACAGCAAAACCAATCTCGCCGCAAATATTGTGCTGGGGGCAAGACTACCAAGTATACAAGTCTTGTGTCAGAGTGACTCTCGTCCTTATCATATCCAACGACTGCTTCAGAGCACTGGAGAGTGGCACTTGCTAATCTTGGGCGGCGATCTATTGGAGAAGTCTCAAATGACTCGGCTCCAAATTCTAGGGTTGCAACTTGGGCGAAACGACTCTCTAATTCATATAATCAACCAGCAGAATGATTCAGTCGGTAGGGTATCGACTTATCTAGTTCACTGTGCCCCCCGAGACAAGATCGAGCTGATGGAGTTGTCGCAAGTCTTCAGACCATTTGACAAAAAGCTTGGATATGATTATTGGAAGGTCTTTGCCGATAATCAGCCGTACAGCGAGAAATGTGGATCTGCTCATGAGTTTTATGGGGTCTCAGCCGAAGGGTGTATGGTTCTCGTGCGTCCGGACCAACATGTTGCATTCATTGGGTCACTGGAAGACTTGCCTGAGGTCGAGAAGTTTCTCAGAAACTTCGTGGTTGTTGATATAGAAGGAACCAAATGTCGAGAGTAAATGTGACGACGGAGAGACCAGATTTGAGATGTAAATACTTGATATATCGACACTTGGACAATGACCAATTGATTTACATTGGATTGAGTAGCATTTCGTATGATGGCTTAGCTTTGAAGAGTCTCTCTTGTTGTATGGGTAGCAGTGCCAGTGGGGAGTGCTAAAGGATTATCAGCAGTAGATCTGAATATTGCAAGTACAATTAATCAATTATGGGTGCTACTTACACAACACTCCGATGTAGTGTAGGGGTTATCACTGTGCTCTTTCACAGCACTAACGGGGGTTCGAATCCCCCCATCGGAGAATTTCTTTTTTTATTTCTTTATTTTCAATGCCCTATTTCTTTCTATATTCATTATCTTTTGTTGTAATTTAAACATTTTTCTCACTTCCAATGTCCCAGCTTAGACATAGAAAAGTCGCCTCTTTCCGCTTCCTTCCCGCCGTCTACCTCAGAGCCGCATAGCGGCATAGGCGGCCAACTATTCTTGTTATACAACTCAGGAAGTATTTACTATAAATAACCATCATGTGTCTCTTGGCGACTTCGGTTATTGAACCCTGATAGCATACAAGAGCTTTTATTTCCGCTCGGGATGGTGATACTGTCCGTATGGTTTCCTCGGAAATGGCCCATCCATGGATCTGGAGGCGTGGACTGATAAACCTGGTATATACAACCATTTCCGGTTCCTTTGTCCTTTTCTTTTTGGGGATAGACACTGGTAAATGTCATCATGGTGTGTTGAATGTGAGCGTAATTAGATATTTTGCTCCCTCTATCTTGGTTTTTATTGATATAAGTTAGAGATATATATATATGCCTGTGTACATGCACATATGAATGAAAATGAAAACGACGAGAGCTTTCGCCTTTATATACGCGTAGGAGCCCTCAATAATACAATGGCACTTTTTTTACAGAAAGAACAAATCCAGATTTGTAGTAAGCGTTGAGTGCTATATGAAGAGCACTGGTCTTAGGTGTGGTTCCTGTCGTATCCAACTACGCTTTTTCATGACCAAATGGTTGAGCATCAACCTTTCAATTATTTGGAAGAACGACAATTATATTGTTACGTAAAACGCTATCACCCTTTCTTGAATCGTGCATGTGGTATTCTAATACAACCTAGAATTATCGGTAATTCAACTACAGAAATAAGAATAGGCAATAAAAAAAATAAGAGTTATAGGGATAAGTAGGCCTGGATCGCTGAAAATTGTATAACAATCCGATGTAGTGTAGGGGTTATCACTGTGCTCTTTCACAGCACTAACGGGGGTTCGAATCCCCCCATCGGAGTTTCTTTTTTCTTTTTGCATTTTCATATCCATTTTATGGTATCGCAGCAACGCTTGTTTCTCTTCTTTTTTATGTATAGTTATCCGTATGAACATTTCGATAGACCCCCTTTTATTCTATTTCAATTGAATGAAATGGGAGTCTTCCACTTCAACACCCTCTATACAGTAGCTCCATGTGGGAAGTTGGATATGACCAGGACTCACCAAATTGCCTAGAAGGTATCCTCAATATTGCGGCACTTTCTCCAATCGGCGTCGCCGGTCATCTCTCCGCTTCAATATAAGCACAGATGCTGCCTACCTAGGTAGTCCTGAAGTATTCAGCCTAAAGCAAATCGAGAATTAACTTAGCCCCAAAGACACTTATCACAACAGGGAACGATCTACATGATAGTCGTCCCTGAAGATTCATGCATTCTTCTGCGCATTAGCCTGTCCGATGCCTTGTTTCCCCATGTTCAATTACTGGCAAATTGCTAGCTGCATACCCATATCTGGGGAAATTTGTCCACTCATGGAAGGAACTCTATACCTGGGCTCCATTAGGGCACAGGTAAAGGCTTGGCTCGTATATTGACGGCAGATTACCGTGTCGGATTTGGCCATTTGCGCTTCGTGGAATCTGCAGTACAGGTAGCGGACCTGGAGAGATGTAACCTTGATATATTGTTTATTGGAATTTTCCGCATACAATCCTTGATTAATGAGGGCAGTTAAAGAAAGCACCGGCAAATATATGTTGTACATTTTAAAGCCACGGGATTTCAGGGTTGTCGCCATGTACTGCACGCAACTGCCAGGATGCGGGGATCCTGCACGTTTGCCGTTGGTCTGTAAAATTATATCTTCTGCACAAGAGTTCACATTGTGTACTGCTTAGGCGCATTTTTGACTCCCAATCCGCGAAATAGGCCGCGACGTATTCGGTAACATAATCTTGAAACGCCGGCGTTGCCGTGTTGCTAGGGCTCGGGTCTCCATTTGGATATTGTCCATATACTACTGGACCCCGCAATGCGATCGACAGCCAAGACTTAGCATGTGTATGTGTCCTTCATCTTACCTTTACATCTAATGCATCGGGTTGGACAATCCATCCAATATGATATCCCATGTCTCCACAAATCATACCATGACCCTTCGGTCTACTATGCCTATTTCGGACTGGAAATTCGCATGAGAGCGGCGATTTATGCAGAGGCTTAGTTTATGCCCGATGGTAACCTTTACGAGAACGATCAGCATGTATGAATAGAGCCTCGGTTTCAAATTAATGTGTTCCATTCAGAGAACTGTTCCAAGCGCTATGTCAAAATAGAATTGAAATATGTTCTATGAATTAGGATAATAATCCATATCAAATATCGCTAGATAGCTGATACTGCAAGGACCTCACAATATCATCCTGGTTTCGGACTGAAACGCTTTATATCCGAAGGGTCCGCAGAACAATCCTCCGTGTTTGGGCTTAACGCCTCGCGGATTACCCGTCACACAAAACGCCTTTTGGCGGTTTGATGTCAGTGGAGGAGCGCCGTGGCGCCCATTCCATCTAGCGGCGCTCTTGGCAGGCTCCAACCCCTTCAACCCCACAAAGTGTCTCATGATCCTTCAATTCTGTAGAGCATAGTTTAATTCTATAGCCAAATTTTCCGGTCCTGATGTTTAAATGAAAGATCGACAGGCAACATACCCCAAAGCGTCTTAATTCGTAGTCATGGCTCCCTGCATCAACAAACCCCCCGAATCTTATACAGCAATGGACAGAACTGGACCGGGGAATCCTCCGTTTTCACAGATGTTGAAACGGCTTAACCACGTTTATCCACTTCAATATCAGTCAGGATCTTGATGAGACTTCTCACAACGGTCATCCAGCGATGATCATTCCCCTCCTGATTCAGGCCCCGTTTCCACTCTCAAATCAATGCACGACAACGGAGGTCATCCAGTATGGAAGTTGATTCTGGATCGATCATTGTGGACTCTCCATCCGTACCAATTTGGTGACGGCCTCACGGTCCGTCACACCGGTCATGCTATGCAGAAAGGACTCTGGTCAAGCCTTGCATGACAATGACTTAGAGAAATCTGGTGCCGAGAAAAGACATATAAAGATCTATTCCCACCCCGAGATTATTTTTGTTCATCAACTGCAGGCCAGACAACAAGATAACAAGACAACATTGCAAATCAATCCTTTCGCTTCACCAGCAATGTATCAACGCGCTCTCCTTTTCTCCGCCCTGGCGGCGGCAGCCCGTGCCCAGCAAGCTGGCACATTGCAGGCTGAGACTCATCCCTCTCTGACCTGGCAAAAGTGCACCGCCGAGGGCACTTGCGCTGACCAGAAGGGCTCTGTTGTCATTGATGCCAACTGGCGCTGGCTCCACTCTGTCGAGGGTTCCACCAACTGCTACACTGGAAACGAGGTAAGCAACCCCGAACCGAGAATATATGAGTGTCCATGGTGATTGACTTTGATAACAGTGGGATGCAACTCTCTGCCCCGATGACGAGACTTGCGCCACCAACTGCGCCCTGGAAGGTGCAGACTACGCCAAGACCTACGGTGCGACCACCGATGGCAACGCCCTGTCTTTGACCTTCGTCACTGGCGCCAACGTTGGCTCTCGTCTGTTCCTGATGGAGGACGATAGCACCTACCAGATTTTCAAGCTGAAGAACCAGGAGTTCACAGTTGATGTCGACACTTCCGAGCTTCCCTGCGGACTCAACGGAGCTCTGTACTTCGTCTCCATGGATGCCGATGGTGGCCTCGCTAGATTCGAGGGCAACAAGGCTGGTGCCAAGTACGGAACTGGCTACTGTGATTCTCAGTGCCCCCGTGACCTGAAGTTCATCAACGGTCAGGTGAGTTTTTATACCAGTCAATTCGAAAAGCTTGTGGGGAAATGACTAATGCGCGATACAGGCCAACGTTGACGGTTGGGTGCCTTCCGACAACGACAAGAACGCCGGTGTTGGTGGCCACGGAGCCTGCTGCCCCGAGATGGATATCTGGGAGGCCAACAGCATCTCCACTGCTTACACCCCCCACCCTTGCGACAGCCCCGAGCAGGTCATGTGCGAGGGCGACGACTGTGGTGGAACTTACTCCAGCACCCGCTACGCCGGAACCTGCGATCCCGATGGATGTGACTTCAACTCCTTCCGCATGGCCAACGAGACCTTCTACGGTCCCGGCATGACCGTCGACTCCAAGTCCAAGGTTACCGTGGTCACTCAGTTCATCACCACCGATGGCACCGACACCGGCGCCCTCAGTGAGATCAAGCGCATCTACGTCCAGGACGGAAAGGTCATTGCCAACTCTGCCTCTGAAGTCGCCGGCGTCGAGGGTAACTCGATCACCGAGGAGTTCTGCTCAGCCCAGAAGAAGGCCTTCGGCGATGAGGAGAGCTTCACTGCCCACGGTGGTCTTGCTGGTATGGGCGAGGGATTGGACCAGGGAATGGTTCTTGTCATGAGCTTGTGGGATGACCACTACGCTAACATGCTCTGGTTGGACGGCGAGGTCTACCCCACTGATGCCGCTGCCTCCGACCCTGGTGCTCCCCGCGGCACTTGCGCCACCACCTCCGGCGACCCAGAGACCGTTGAGAAGGAGCACGCCGCCGCCAAGGTGACCTACTCCAACATCAAGGTCGGCCCCATTGGCTCCACCTTCGCTTCTTCCTAAAGAGTGAAAATGACAGGCGCTTGCTGAAGCTCAACTACACTTGGAATGCGGGGTCTCCGTGCTGTATAAACCCTTGCACCAGTGGCAGCAAATGCCCAATTTGGAGGATAGTGGTGAATGATATATAGGGTTTCTTTCGTTGACAGTTGTCTGTATTCTTGATTTCATTTTGTCTTTTTTAGAATCAGAGTTGTTTTATCAGAATTGAATTGATTTCATTCGCCGATTTGAGCTTGAACTAGTAAAGAAGGCGGTCAATGTATTCGACCCAGCAGAAAAAAAAAACGGCCAGCTCTAAAGCTCCAGCTTTCGCAATTGATTCTCTTGATTTAATTCACACGAGTGCAGATTTTTTACTAGGCTCACTAGAAGCCTTCAGATTTTGTGTTTATTCCCCTTGCAATTCGCAACCATGTTCGACACGGTCTGCACGCTTCCGCTTTCCTCGGACCTGTTCGCTCAGGCTATCCACCCCGAGGAGCCCGTAGTCTCTGTCGGTCTGGCCTCGGGCCACGTCCAGACCTTCCGACTGCCTTCCTTAGAAACAGATGATGACGAAGATGCCATATCGAATTCGTCTGCCCGGACCGGAAAGGGCCACATTGACACTATGTGGAGAACTCGGCGACACAAGGGTAGTTGCCGCACCCTAGGATTTGGCATCGATGGCAAAACGCTTTACTCGGCTGGTACAGACGGTATCGTGAAGGCTGCAAGCACCGAGACTGGTCAGGTGCAAAACAAGATTGTGATTCCTTATGAGAAGAACGGGTAAAGGAACTCTCCCGAATATCAAGCGTTGCAATACCTTTGCATTTGGCTGACCTGTCTTTTTCCAATTCATATAGCTCTGTTGATGCGCCAACCATGATTCACGCCCTCTCTCCTCAAACTCTTCTCCTCGGTACTGACTCAAGCGCTCTGCACATCTACGATCTCCGCATCCCCTACTCCAAGGTGTCTGCGCGGCCTGAGCAGTCGCACCACCCTCACGACGACTACATCTCCTCTCTCACTCCTCTGCCGGCTTCCGACACTAGCACATCGGGCTTCAGCAAGCAGTGGGTTACCACTGGTGGAACAACCCTGGCCGTGACAGATCTCCGGAGGGGCGTTTTGGTGCGCAGCGAGAACCAGGAAGAGGAATTGGTCAGCTCCGTCTTTATGCGTGGTTTGCCTTCGAGCGGAACCAGCCGGGGCGAAAAGGTCATTGTTGGTGGAGCCAGCGGTATCATGACTCTCTGGGAGAAGGGCGCATGGGATGACCAGGATGATCGGATCTATGTAGACCGCACCGATGGCGGAGATTCCATTGAGACAATGACGGTTGCGCCCGACTACTTGGGCAAGGTGGTGGCCGCAGGCCTTTCAAACGGAAAAGTGAAGTTTGTGCGCATCGGACCCAATCAAGTAGTTTCTGAGGTTGTGCACGATGAAATTGATGGTGTCGTGGGCTTGGGCTTTGATGTCGAGGGCCGTATGGTCTCTGGTGGTGGTCAGACAGTCAAGGTGTGGCACGAGGCTGAGGACAATGCCGGTGATGGATCTGGCGATGAAGACATGATGGATGATAGTGATGACGAGAAAGATTCGGACGACAGCGATGCGGAACGTCGCGAGGAACCGAAGGACCGAAAGAAGCGCAAGAAGTCCAAGGGCAAGGACCTCAGTGGTGCACAGCATGTCATGGCCTTCCACGACCTGGACTAATGTCTCAATACCCCATTATCTGATACCCACATCTGCAGATCATTATTCAGCCCGAAAACAAGAAAAAGTGTATATAGCGTCGGTGTTAGGGTTCCCAAGAGTCAATTAGAGAAAGAATATCTATCTCTAGATGGCGAGAGATAATATACTCCGTATGTATTCATGTTCCCCGTTTGAAAAACTGGGAAGGAAAACATATGATTTCCCCCTTACTTTATTCCAAGTTGTAGTTAGGCCTTGGGGGCCAAGAATCGCAGTATATTTTGATATCATTACCACCCTTATAGCCCTGGAGCACCTCAAACCCAATCGCCCGATACGGACTCGAGCCATACAAAAGCCTTCGCTCAGAAACACACCTGACTCGAAAGAATGCAGCAGCACAAATCATTCTTCAAGCAAGTCAGACCACTCTGGAATCTCCTTGATGAGCTTCCACATGTACTTCTCCAGCTTGACTGCACACTTGGCATATACAGTTGTGGCGTCATTATATTGCTGACAGTTACTGAAAATCAACTTAAGATCGCTGACAAGTTCTTTCGGAGTAGTGTAACGCTCCAATCGTTCTTCTATAGTCGACAAATCCATTGGCGATACAATAGCATCGTAATAACCAGGGACTTCATCTTTGTTGACTGGGTTGAGAAAGGGCCATGATTGTTTGTGGTTTTGGATTTGATTCATAAAACGTCGAAATTCATTGAAATGAGGTCCTTTGGAACGAGACCCGTGGTATGATTGTCGTGCTAACTCGTCCATTTCTGGAGACCAGCCAGTTGCCTGGATGGCAGGTATAGAGAGTGGGTCAATTGGAACCACGACGCCGTTAGCCCATTGTTGAGGCGGTAGATGAATGATGTGACTTTTGGTCGAGGTACGTATTTTGGCTAGAACTGATTCTTTCTGCTTAAGAAGCATTCGACCAATTTCGAGATACCGTATTCGGGCAAGCATAGAACATTGCATAAGGGTCCCCCCTTCGTAATCTTTGATACACCCCATCCAGATAGACTTGTTGAGAGTGATCTCTTTGGTAAAACCTTGCTTTTGAAAATAACCGATGGCAAGGTTATCGGCGTAGGTTAGAAAATGCATAACCGGGGAAGTAGCTCTAACATAATCCTTTAAATGAGCCATAAGATGTGCTCCGTATCCTTTCTCCTGTTGATCAGTCGAGACCGCGCAGAAAACGATTTCGGCGAAGTTGCGGTCTCGGAATTCTCGAAATGATATACCGCCAATAACCTCTAGAGGCATTTTGACGATGGCGATTGATAAATGAGTGCGATCGTAGACTAGACGTGCGATATAGTCCTTGGGCATTTCTGGAAGTTGCCTTTGAAATAGGCATTTAAGACCTGTGAGGATAATCGTACTCTCTCTGGAGCCATCATTGTTGACAACTCGGAACTCGATTTCGCCATTCCTTTCTTCCAAAACTGCGGGCTTCGGAATCATTAGAACGATTTTTGACATTTCTTTAAAGATCTTAGCATACCTTCTCTGGGAAAGGAACCCCCGGGCTATAGGAGTTTTCATATCCGGTTCTATCAACCCATCATGAAAGCTTTTGGCTCTTTTGGAATCGGGCGCGATATTCAGCTCTTCGCAAGCCGTGCGTTTTGCGATGAGGAGATCTGGCCCACTGTCGGCCGAAAAGGATTGTGACTCTGCTCTGGCCATTTACGTGTGTTGGCGAACCTCGCGATAGATGATATGCAAACTAGTGTAAATCGCAGTTTTTGCCAATTATGGAAATGTCGAGTGAGGTAGTAACTAGTAGAATCCGAGGTTAGAGGTTAATCATAGGACTAGTCGTCAATACTCACTGGGATGGATAAGCGGGGCCCCTTGTTTTCGCTATAAACACTGTTTGGCTTTGATTTTGAGATTTACTGTAGGTTTGAGTTTTCTAGGAAGGCACATAGAAGATCAGAAGAGAAGAAGAAACTATGTAACCTCTATAGAGAGCGCACGGGAGATACTAGTAGAAGAGAAGAGAGGGGGTGGAGTAGAGATCTACTAGTCCGATCTCTATGTTGTACTTTAAATGATCATGTCACGTGAGTTGTTTCAGGTATACCTGGGAATTCATAACATGCGCAATAAAGAATTACTCTAGTACCAGAAGGCTTGTAATATACATTAAATTTAGCTATCTCTAAAACCCTACCATGTCGGGGGAGCATTTTTCACAGGCGGTTCACTCTTTTGACTAGGTCGAGTCTCATGGGTGATATCAATCTGATTGGAGACCATGATAGCACCCGTGGACGTTTTGCCATTCAGAGCGGCCGGATATGTCTTTATGTTCTGCATCTTAACATCTTCCATCATCCGTTCCTCACTCTCGGTAAATGACATGCCAATGGTCATAGGATCCGTACTCGCATCCCCGCGACTCTTCCGACTGGCGTAGTCACCTCCGCCACCAATGCTCCGGAAACCATTCGAGGGCGATTTATGTGTCTTCTGAGACAACTGAAACTGGCTGCCGAGAATTTGGCTGAGCCAGATTCTGAATAGGTGAAAGATCATGGGAAGATTGGTCGTGACGACTGCGACGAAAGTTTCGCGAGTGCCCCATTCATCGGCGAGTTTTGCACCATCTTCAGGTTTCTATAGAAAATGACAGATCAAATTAGACAAATACGTTCAAGGGGGTAATGCATATAGATGGAACCTTACCACTAGGAGAAACACACTCTTAATAGTGGCGCAGACAAGAATAAAGACACCTGCACTGAGTACGATAGTGGCGGCGATCTTCTTCAAAGGCTTCAGACTAGATTGCCAAAGCATGGGAATTGGGATAAATATAAGGTATGGATCGGTAAGGAGGTTTGCGGCGAAGGTTACTGCGATGACCGGCTTGGAAATGGCTGGTTGGCACACATCTAGAGATATAGTTAGCACTTGATATCTAATTATGTCAAGATGGGAGTCTGACTGCCGGGGTCTGGATTGATCTGCCAGTTTTTGTGGAATGGTCGACATGCGCCAAAGATCGTGATGACACTCGCGAGAAAGCTCCCCAGGACAAAGGCGACTCCGACATATATGGGAATTTGATAACGCCGGCCCAGGCCCTCCTATTTTGTATCAGTTACTGGTTGCGAAACATGGGCCAGAAATCGAGTTTATTACCATCAGGCGAACGTAGAATGCCAACATGGACAATTTGAGTGCATTAATCAATGCTACATAAGTAGTCCAGCCCGCAATCTGAATCTTGGAGCCGATCACTCTAATCAAATGGTTAGTGATCGCATTCACATTTGGCTTTGGTCGACAATTGGGGAATATGTACCTGGCGTGGTACATTGGGTCGTCAGGCGATAGTGCCTCTCGCTGGGCGGGTGTCATTCCATTGTTGGCGAGACCATTAGACACATTGCCCACACTATGTGCAAGCGACGCCTGTGCAGTATAGAGGATCTGCATTGGAAATTAGTAACTAGTAGGATGGTATAGAATCAGAGTCTATTACAATTGCAACCCATACGAGGTAATCGTCAAGTCGTAAATTCCTCAATCCCCCGGTCCTCGACCGAGCATATGTTCTAAGAATTGTGACGGCAACACCAATTGAATATAACGTCCATAATTCAACTGTGGCCTTGTGGGCATCTGACGCGGCATCTCGTGCCTCTAAGCCAAATGCCATGAAGCCTGACATCTGTGAATTATAGCCGGGGGGGGGGGGGGGGATTAGCAGAAGGTTAACAAAATAAAAAAAGGTAAGAAGGGTTGACTTCGCTCTACTAGCGTGGATCTCTGGATCGGAGTTTCGCCCCCAAATGGTCAAGGTCATTTACAGAAAATGAGGCAGATTGGTACGAGTATTGGAGAACGCCGAGGCGTCTATGCTCCATCCTCCGTACAATTTCCAGGGTTAGGTTATACCAAAAGGGTCTGGTTCGTTCCGTTCATAAGGAATCCCATCCGTACCATGGTTTTTAGAAGCCACAAAATCCAGATTTGGGGATAAAGTTTTGCCTAAATTAGTATGTACATTTATGTATGGTTGGACGTGGATCCTTCAGCTGACTCTCCAATATTATGAAGAATGCTTACCTACTTAGGTACCTAGGTAGCGGAATCTGCTAGGCAAATTGGGGAATATGACAGGGGTGTCTGAACGTGGCCCCTGAAGAAAAAAAATCAATCTAGAACAAATAGAAATTCATAATAAATTAAGTGGCATTCCATTTAAATTAAATCCCTAAAATCTAAGACATATAACTACTTGGGGATGTCCACTAGCAAGATACTAGTGGATCCTTTGCGAGGCGCGATGGATGCAACACCCCATAGGTTTGGGGCCAAACCGGATATTATATCCAACCACGATAGCACGTTCCAGCCGAGCGCCAGAGTGGAACTCTGTTGTTCCGATGGTTGCGCTTATTAAAGCTATTCAGGCTGATGTAACATACCCTAGTCCCTGTGTTGGCGTAGACAAGAGTCCGGCAGTTTCAACTGGGCGAAATATGGAACCAGGGGACGGGTGTTACGGAAGATAGATTCATAACCAGCTCATATTGTAAGGTGGAAACCGTATAAATGTGGAGTTTTTAGGTTATAGATTTCATATCTTTTATACTCCGTAGATAACTATGCCATTGAGGATTTTTCAATACGGAGGTACGGAAGATAAAGTATACTCCGTAGCGTTATTAAGGGGAGCCAATCTAACCGAGCTAACTCTAGGGTAGTTTGACAATTGCCGTAAATAATATGCAATAAATAGTTAGAGCGCCGCAGAACTGACAGGGATTATTTCTACAGTGCCTATCCACTTTTTTTCTCTTGACGTCCTCTGACGATCAAACGCAAGGGGCATTTGGTTTTTTTTTTCCCTTGTCCTTGACATTTCAGGACATTCTCTTTTGAGTAATGTATTTCAAGACAGAGGTGATCACCGCCGTTGCGGCCTGGGCCCTTTCCGCCGCCTCTTTGAGTTTCTATAGCGACTGCGATTATATCGAGGGCGGTCTTTGCCCGCGAGGCGATGCTGATTTGCAGGCGCTCGGAAAGCAGCTTTCGAGCACTGCCAAGCTGTATTTCCCCGGATCGACCGGATTCAAGGATCTCACAACTCGGTGGTCTGTTCTAGAAGAGCCTAAGGTGAACGTCGTCGTCGTGCCCGGCAATGAGAACGATGTTGTGCAAACGGTAGGTAAACATTTTTGATTTTTTGATTTTTTTTGATTTTTTTGATCTCTATATATGTCAATTGGACAAAGACAGATACTAATTGTAATGGTTTAGGTGAAATTCGCCAACAAGAAGGACCTGCCCTTCCTCACGTACAATGGTATCCACGGAGCCCTCGTTTCGTTGGGTAAGATGGACCATGGCGTCGGAATCTCCCTGAGCCAGCTGAACAGCGTCAAAATTGCCAATGATGGAAAGACAGTCACGATCGGTGGAGGAACCATGTCCAAGAAGGTCACCGACACGCTTTGGGCCGCAGACAAGCAGACAGTTACTGGAACTTGTGAATGTGTCAGTGTTTTAGGACCCGCCCTTGGCGGTGGACATGGATGGCTCCAGGGCCACCACGGACTCGTCTCTGACCAATTTGTTTCGATGAATGTCGTTCTCGCCGACGGTACCTTGAAGAAGGTTGATAACAACTCCGACCTCTTCTGGGCGATGAAGGGTGCTGGCCACAACTTCGGCATTGTGACTTCTCTCACCAGCAAGATCTATCCCATCGAGCACCGCGACTGGGCCATCGAGACCATCACTTTCAGCGGCGATAAGGTCGAGGCTGTCTACCAAGCTACCAACGACTATCTTCTGAACCAGGCCGCGGAGGTCATCAGCTGGACGTACTGGATGAACGTCCCCGAAATTGACGCTACCAACCCCGTCATCGTACTCTATCTTATCCAGGAGGGAGTGAAAGCTGTCGATCCCGTTTACACCAAGCCTTTCCATGACATCGGCCCTCTTGCCATTGTACCCCAGTCAGGCAGCTACCAGGACCTCGCCGCATGGACCGGCATTGCCCTGGACTCCCCGCCATGCCAGAATATGGGCCTGGCCAACCCCCGTTTCCCCATCTACCTCGAAAAGTACGACGTCGCGGCTCAGAAGATGGCATGGGACATCTACGCACCTGCCGTCCGTGGAGACTCTCCCTTCACCTATTCAATCTTCATGTTCGAGGGTTACTCTGAAGGAGGCGTGCACGCCATCCCCAGCAGCTCGAGTGCTTTCCCCTTCCGCAGCGAGAATATCCTTGCCGCCCCGCTCATCAACTACGTGCCTGTCGATAAAGCACTTGAGGACAAGGCTGCTGCTTTGGGTAAACAGCTCCGCAACATCCTCCACGAAGCCACTGGCCGCACGGATATTCGCGCCTATGTCAACTATGCCCACGGAGACGAGACTACGCACCAGCTGTATGGCGAGAGTCAACAGCGCCTGCTCGCCTTGAAGAAGAAATACGACCCCACTGGCAAGTTTAGCTTCTACGCACCGATCGCATAGATGGATTGTGCAAGGGTTTTGAGGATTTGTACGTATAGCAACTTGTTGCAAGCATGTACAATAAGCATGTGGGGATAGGATCATTTGAATAATCTATAAATAGTTTGATCCAATTTACTACCATGGGGGCTCTAGGGTGTCCTGACACCAGATTTGTGTATACCTGAAGCTTTAGGTATCACTGCAAGTCTCAGACAAATTCTCCGTAAATCAATGCAAGCTATCTGAGTCTGAGCCAGGACTGAAATTCAAGCCTGGCCCTCACAAAAGCGACCTCGGAACAGCTAATACAGAAAGGCCCCACCCGGCAGTTTGGGGAAATTTATATCCGTCCGCCTAGACTGTCCACGGATGGGTATTTCCGTCGATCCTTCACTATGATCGGAACATCTATGACCACACAAGGGGAATCGAGGGTACTCAAATCAGACTCGAAGTATAAATCAACATGCTCAATCGGACATTAAATGCCTAAACGACCAACGGATTTCGCAATGGCTCGGAGGATCACCATAGTACAACTGCCGATAAGACCCCACGGCCCCACGGAAGGACATGACGTTCATAGAATGCGGCGGGGTGTGGGGAGCGGACTATAAGATGGCAAGTCTCGCTCTCATATGATTTCAAACACAAAATGGATAACTTCGAATACAACCCCAACCCCGGCCGTGTCGTCTTCGGCAGCGGCACGCTGCAAAAGCTCCCCGAGGAGATCTCCCGCCTGCAGTTGAAGGCCCCACTGGTGCTCTCGACACCCCAGCAGGTCAGCCATGCTGAGACAGTCAAAGATGTGCTCAAGGGTCAGATTGCCGGCATTTTCACCGAGGCGACTATGCATACTCCCACAGACGTCACAGACAAGGCTCTTGAGTATGCGAAGGCCCAGGGAGCCGACTCGGTCATTTCTATCGGAGGCGGAAGCACTATCGGTCTCGGCAAGGCGATCAGCATTCGCACTGGATTGCCCCATATCTGTATCCCGACTACATATGCTGGTAGCGAAATGACCCCGATCCTCGGTGAGACCGCCAATGGATTGAAGAAGACTCGCTCCGACCCCAAAATCTTGCCCGGCACAGTCATTTACGATGTGGACCTCACAATGACCTTGCCGTCGGCTATGAGTGCTACTAGCGGTGTCAACGCCATTGCGCACGCCGGTAAACATCCCTGAGTGATCTGCATCAACTTCATACGCACCACTAATGCGTTACTGAATAGTCGAGGCTCTCTACGCGCGCAACACTAACCCAATCATCAACATGATGGCGCTCGAGGGTATCCGGGCACTTGCATCCGCCCTCCCCGAGATCGTTGAGAACCCATCTTCTCAATCCGCACGATCCAAGGCCTTATATGGTGCCTGGCTCTGTGGAACATGTCTCGGCAGCGTGGGAATGTCTATCCACCACAAGCTGTGCCACACACTTGGTGGCAGCTTCAACCTTCCCCACGCCGAAACTCATACCGCTGTCCTTCCGCATGCCATCTCATACAACGCACCTAATATCCCCGAGGTTATGAAGAAGTTGGCCGACGCCCTGCCGGATAGCAATGGCGACGCGATCCACGGCTTGAACGTTCTCTTGACTAAGCTCAAGGTCAAGCGCGGCGTGAAGGATTTCGGCATGAAGGAAGAAGATATTGATAAAGCGGCTGATATTGCGCTATCCAATGCTTACTGGAATCCTCGCCCAGTTGAACACGCGCCGATTCGCGAATTGATTCGCAGGGTTTGGGCGGGAGAGCTCGCACAGGCGAACTTGTAGATATCCTTTGCTTTTTATGTTGCCATGAAATAAATAGCCCTAGATCTCTCAGAATAATTTGAGTATATATTTTTACCAGTTAAGAAGTTGGGTTGCTCTGCCAATAGGCTCCGTTGTATTTTCCCGTTATCGATGGCGGGGTGAAGTGGGGGGATCTTTTTTTTTCTCCAAAAATTCTTAGCCATTTCGTGATTCCTGACTCAACACCACGCTTTCCCCCTATATCTTACAAAATGGGGTCTGAAATGAAGTCAGCCCCTGTGCTGTCGACTGCTGATGAGCGCATTCTCGAAGAAACCAATCCAGTGGCCTTGCGAGACCCAACGGCCGCAGTGTCAGACGATGAACTCTCCATTACCTACGATATCGAGCGCACATTGAAGGAGATTCGGCAAGCACGATACAAGCGCATTGCTCTCCAATTTCCAGATGATATGCTTCCTGATGCCCCGCGAGTATTTCAATTGCTCAGCCGGGGCCTGGAACGCGAGGAAGTCGGCAACAATGGCGCACAGTCCTCGAACCAGACCGATGCCGACCTTGCTCACTCGGTAAACGAGCTCCAAGTGGAGGATAAAACAGGAAAAATCTCAGCTCGGTTGACAATTTTGGCCGATACATCTTACGGAACCTGCTGCGTTGACGAAGTGGCCGCGGAACATGTAGACGCAGATGTGGTTGTGCATTACGGGAGGTCCTGTCTGTCGCCAACAGCTCGGCTACCCGTGATCTATGTTTTCACGCACAAGAATCTGCCTCTTGAGCCAGTGGTACGAGCGTTCAAGGCAACTTATCCTGAACCAACGACCAAGGTTGTCATCGCAGCCGACGTTACCTATGCAGACCATGTTCCTACGGTATACAATCGCCTGGTCGAAGAGGGATATACCAACCTATATGCAACGGAGGTTGTTCACGAGCCTTCCTCCCCTATTCCCAATCGTACAGTTCCTGAGTCAGTTCGAGAGGCTCCTGAGACGCTGGCCGACTGGCAACTGTTTCACGTCTCCGATCCGCCAACAGCTCTCATGATGACACTTGCGTCTCGCGTTGCTGCGATCCATATTTATCCCACCAATGACCTTTCAAATGAGAATGTTAAGCCATTGCCTGCTTCAACTGCAGCGGTTTTGCGACGCCGCTATGGCACTCTTGCCTCTCTGACCACCGTGCCTATTTGGGGTATTCTTATCAACACGTTGAGTGTCAAGAATTACTTGCATATTGTGGAACATGTCAAGGAACGGATTGCCAAAGCAGGCAAGAAGAGTTACATGTTCGTGGTTGGTAAATTGAACGCTGCCAAGGTAGCTAATTTCAGTGAAATTGGTGGTTGGGTGGTGATTGGCTGCTGGGAAAGCTCTTTGGTGGATAGCACGGATTTCTGGAAGCCAGTCATCACTCCCTTCGAATTGGAGCTGGCCTTGAAAGACGACTCAGACCGGGTGTGGACAGGAGCGTGGCAGAGTGACTTCCAGGCAGTCCTTGACGCACCAGCCCAGGAGGTCAACGGAAACGGAGATGCGCAGGGGACATCTAATGGCGCAGCCATGTCTGATGAGGACGACATGTCAGAACCCGAGTCGGCGCCGCCCGAATTTGACCTGCGCACCGGTCGATACGTCTCAAATTCCCGTCCTATGCGGGAACCCGCGCCCCGCGCTTCGCAGGTCGATGGATCATCTGCCACTGGGCCATCCGCTGCTAGGGCGTTGGCGCGACGAGCTAAGGGTGACTTGGCTATGATCGGCGGTGCCGTTTCACCAGGAGCAGAATACTTGCGATCCCAACGGACGTGGACGGGTCTGGGTAGTGACTTTAATATTCGATATGATGAAGACTCGGAGGATAGTACCCTGGTCAAGGAAGGGCGCAAGGGTATTGCGAGGGGCTACACTGTAGGCGATGCAACCGACAAACATTAGTCCACATGGCCTAGCATAGAAACCATTTGCACTAGACTCAGCGATCAATGCATTTCATTTTTTTTCTTTGCACGAAATCCACGAACCACGCAGATCACCAAAATCCGGGGGTTTGGCCATCACATGACGGCTGGTCTCCTAACGGGCGCATCCGGATATCACCTCTCACCTTTTGCACTTCTCTCTCTTTTTTTTAACTCCTGTTCCTTTCTTTAGGATCATAGGGGCATAAAAAATACTTTTCTCTTTCATTGCTTTCCCACCTCTTTGGGGATTTCATCTTTTCCCCTCATTTTTATACCCCTCTCTTTCTCCCTTCCCCCTTCTGATACCCCAATTCCTCAGCCCTTGCGACCCCCCCGTCTTCTCAATTATCGACTGTTTACCTTTCATGGCCTTGCATGGTGGCTTACCTCAGGGTGTGCTTGCCCCTTCGATTGCATCAAGTTGTCTTATCATGTGCCGCGTCTCTACCCGCCGAGCTCGCGACCTCGCGCTATCTCGATTTTCGACCTAAGAACCGGCATCTTTCGTTCGCCCAGGACCTATGACGAATCACGGTCTTGAAACCATGGCTAGGGGGGTTGTTGTTGGTGAGGACCCAGCGTCGCACCCGACGGTGCTGGAAAATGCCTTGCAACACTTTGTTATCCCAGAAGAACGAGCCCTGTCCACCTTTGAGCGAGTCATAACAACAAATGCACCCATATTCGAGTCTCTGTTACTCCAGATCCCGACCGATACTATCATAAAGCTGTATCACACTTCAAATTACCTCCGTACGTTCCTTCGATCATATCCGACCGCATGGAAGTCCCTCTCGTTTCGCCTACAATTTCCTTCAAGCACCCTACCGATTCCTCAAATCAATGACCCAAGCATCACTGAAACAGCCCCCGCGCGTCAATCGCGACCTTATGCCCTAGATATGTTCCTGATGAATGTGGTGATCCCATTCAGTAGGTGTTTGAAAAGCCTAGAATTGGATAACACGGCCATTTCAGGAGAGAATTTGACATCAACCGTGCTGCATTCACGTCGGGAGACGCTGGTGCATCTCTCTGTTCGAGGGTGCAAGAATGTTTCTTTGAAATATCACATCGTTCCTTTCCTGACCATGTTCGCGCTGCAATGTGACATTGACATGGAGAATAATACTGGCAGCTCTCCCGGGATGAAACGACTTGCCCTCAAGAGTATTTACGCCTACCGATGTCGTCATCACAGACGACGCCCTTATCTCTCATCTTCACTGATGCGGAAAGACGCTGACGCGGAGTCGACCCATGAACTTGTCAATATCTGCCACAAGCTAGGCATCTGGACTGATACCGCTTGGTGCACCACACCTGCCGGTAGATGTGCCCGCAGAGCTGGTTATGTCAAATCAAGGTTCCCGCATGGAGCAGGGTCGCCGGAAGTTTGGGTAGTCTTTGACCGACTCTGGAGATCTAAAAATTGGATCGGTCCAACCGAATCTGAGACCCCTCAACCACACGTATACGACGGAAAGCTGTGGGAGAACCGTGATACTGGACTCTATGGCGAGGCATTAGGAACTGGCGAGGGTCTTGACTGGGGTGAAGGGAAGATGACACCTGCCCATCTGCGCCAGAGTCATACACAATTTGTCGACAAGATCTGCTGTGACAACTGCCTCGAGGATATCTCAGAGCGATGTGAACATTGCAGCGTCTTAATGCACTGTGTCGGATGTCGTAAAACACTCTGTGCGAGCTGTGCCCACGAGCGGCCGTATCTTCACAGAAGCACACCATCTTCGTCTGAAAAAACTCAAAATGCATCTGATTCCTTCTGGTGGGCACCTGGGGCCACACACTCTCCCGGCTCAATGCAGGATCCCGTGGATATACTGGTAAATCCCAATCAAGCCCATGGTACAGGGATGGACCCACCGCCTATCCTCAATTTCCATTGGTGTTGCACCAAGCCTGACCTCTCCGGGGGAGGCGGGATTAGCATTGGACCTCGCAATGGTGAGGTGGACCAGGTACGGGCCGTGCCTTTGCCTCGTGGCCAAGGTTGGGAGGACCTAGAGTACACCGTCAGTGAATGGAGCAAGACCTTCCCCAAGTATGCATATGGGGATCCGAGCAAGCCGGATTACTCTCTTGAGACGGGTCATCTGGCGATGATGAAGTGGCTGCTAGGACCACCTAACCGGGAAGTTTCACCGTGTCCGCGTAACTTGTGCCAAGGCTGTTACGATTCACCGCAGTGGAAGGTGCATTGCAAGAGCTGCTCCAAGCCTCTCTGCATTGAGCATGACCTCCGGGGGCTTCGATTAAGGATCTGCGGCTACCGAGACCTCGAGACGGAAAAGCAAACCATTCAAAATCGATTCGCTGCAAATCTGTCGGGATCTCTGCTCTCTAGTCTTCCCGAATACGACGACATACTATTCAGAAGCCAACAGCTTCTTGACTCGACAAACAAAAGCTTCATTGACGATTCACGTCAAGATAGCATGGACGAGGAAAATACACCCGAATCACACCCCGGTGATCAGTCGGCTCCTGTTTCCTTCTTCTCCAACCAACCATCTCGCTCATTTTCGGCCCCTGCATCTGACCATTCTTCCCCCCCTCATCCTCATCCTCCACCTTCTTTGATTCGCCGACATTCGAACCCCCAAGATGGCAAGGATGCCAATCCTTCTTCTGCCCGCCGACTGATCCTATCACCGGAGCCAGGGATGTCAGAGGCGGTATCCGGGACCCACGTCCCAGATGCCCCAGCTATCTGCGAGAATGCAAAGGCTGCAAGGTGTATGTATGCGCGGACTGCATCTATACCCATCCACCATGCAAATGCTCGTATTGCGAGGAAAACTACTTGTGCCCTAATTGCATGACGGACCGCCCTCGTGACAGCTTGTGCCGCCGTCGCCATGAGGAAAGAGCACAGCGTGACCGCAAATGGAAAAAAGAAATGCAGCTGCTCGAAGCCATCCTGGAGCTCAAAGTGGCTAACGAGCTGGCCGAGTTTGCAGGCGAGTTCTTTGACCTCGTTGAAAGGCGCAATAGTCTGCCTTCGGGGACGCTGGTCCCCTTTGATAACGGGATCACCGACCCTTCCGAAGGGGACATTGCAGCAGCGGAAACATCCGCATCGCACTTTGAGCCCGATGACCTTGAGTGGTTCCTCCAAGACTCTCATTAGTCCGAGATACTGCTCACCGTCTCTAATTCGGACCTTCGGACTTTCGTGTTTACCAAGGTCTTTTTTTCTTTTTCTTTGTTTTTTCTTTTTCTTTTTTTTTTTCTTTCAGTTTCTTCAGCGATCTCATATCCTGGCGTCATAAGGGAATCTATGAAATCTTTTCGCAATCTACCAGATCAATATCACGGTGTTCTAACTCGGCGTTGTACCCAGCGAAATGGATCGGCGTATTATCCACATCTTTTTTTTTTTTTTTTTTTGCTTCTGCCACTCGACCCCTCTTTCAAACCGGACTGAGGCTGCAGTTGACATGGGTTACACCATTTACCCGGCTGTTCCTCGGGAAGGGCTTACTGCGTTGATGACATAACTGGCCAATGGATGCAGGCACCAGCGTCAGAATTTATGATTTGTTTGTTCGTATTCCCTTTGATGGCATAGGTGTGGATGAATGTGCACTGGTTGACCATGTAATGAGGGGGCATATCTCAAAGAATCAGGTATTATCTTACTTGCTCTTCGACTTGGCTCTATATCCTTGTATACTTACACCAATGATCATACGTTCCTTGGACTAGTTCAACCATCGGACCCTTGGCGAGCCCAAGGCTGTATAAAAAATAGCGCCACACCCCTGGACAAACCCTAAGAGCCAGTTATAATGCACCACATGCGTTGGAACAATGTTTACTCCGTACAGATAACGGACTAGTATAATCTAAGCACATTAAAGTATCGTCATCTGGGGAAAGAAGCAAAGATCCCCGATCAAATAAGAAACCCCCACGATCAGATACCCGAACCTAGCGCCTGAAGAACAGCCCAATTATGGTTTCATCATCTGACCTTGACACCAAAAGTACCATGGCGCCCCCAGAACGTGTCGGGTCGTAGATGGGTAGAGGGATGCGGTCAAGGACAACGGCCATGACACAGCGCTAGCGTATGCAAACCACGTGGATTCTTGTAATGCAACATCTACGGCTCTGCACGTCCCGGGGCTCTTATCGGCGGTGAATACCCTGCTTGAACCAATAGGGTCTGAAGTAACCCGAAGTAGTAGTTGGGCTCTACAGCACTCCAGCTGGAATGTCGGGCGCCTAGATCTATATATGGGTGTTTTCTGGGATTTATTTCTGTTCCTACCTGATTCTAGAAACACGTAGATAGAATGGAACTAATAATAAGCAATGTACTCGGTAGATCCAGAGTATAGATCAAAGTATTGACTCGGGTGGATCGGACGATCACTTTGGAATCCAGTTCTACCCGCTTCCCCGGTGCCCCTTTTCCTTTTTTATATATATATATATATATATATATATTTGGTTTTTTATATTACTTTGATTCTTATTCATATGATACGTACTATGTATAGTCCACCCCTTAAAAGGGACCTAAGATATCCGATCGGCTGGCGCGGATGTAGCTTCCCAGTCCCGATTGGGTGCGGGACAACTTCGGTACTCTGGAAGTCATCCTATTAGTAGAGACAAGACACATATTTGGAATGTTAGTGGCGAGTATGGAGTACAGAGAGTTATGTCGGAATATGTAGGAATTAAGTACCGTACGCTAGGTCCCGTTACTATCTGACATCATAATCTATAGATACTTTCAAGGGGTAAAATCCCCCAAAAAAAAAGTGCGCTAAATTTCAGCTTGAACCCGTCACAAACGGACTTCACCAATAAGATTTACATATTAACTCCCTTTTTTATTTTTTATGGCGCAAGGCTAAGTGGTCCGATCTCCCGTTCCATTTAGGCAGAGAAGATGTCGGTGAACGCGTTCCTTGACCTTTAGACGCGTGACCGGTCTATTTCCGAAGCAAACATCATTTGACAGGGTTTTTTGGAGTTTTTTGGAGGTTTTTTTTGGAGTTTTTTATTTTATTTAATTCTTTAAAGAGAAATAAGATCAGGGTTTATAGAAATTTAATTTAATTTTTCTTAGTTGCGTCGTTTATATAAAGCCTCTGTCGCACGTCTATTTGACTTTAATCAACTCCAAACTTCAAACTCCCTTTTGAGCCCCTGAGATCTATATACCATTTACGACTTTCTTCATATTCACCATGGACAAAATTAAGACACCCAAGGAGGAACCCCAAGAGAAGACCGAGGAGCAACCCACGACTGTTGAAGAGTACCAGAGGAAATGGGACCAGATGCTTCAAGACACCGCAAAGCAGATCGACAAGATTCGAGGTCAGTTTTTCTATGACATATGCAGAAGAGAGAACTGACAGCTATCATAGAAAATGAGCTAGCGAGGAGGTCAAATAATAATAATCAAACCGAGCAGCGTTGATCAACGCCACTTTATTGTTGACACCGTCTATGCAAGTCGTGGGATTTATTGGAAACCGAGCTTCTGGTGCTTGCTTTTTTTCGTTTCTTTTTTTTCCTCCACGGATGATGAGAGCATTGGGGATGGGATCAGAGGGTGTTTTTTTTTTTTTGGGAGTACATTATACCTTGAAGCTTTGGCTTTTCTCGTTACAAGGCATGCAGAATACAATTTTCCTTACATCTTAGAGAGACTGGGATGTAAAAAAAAAAAAAAAAAGCAAAGAGAGAGCCTCAAGTGGGGTGACACTTGGGATTCTCAAGATTTCCTTGATATCTCTGCCATCCTTTTCAGCTGCACGTCATGGATACTGCTAATGAGGTCGCTCAATCCTTGTAGGTTGTCCCAAAATGGTAGGAGACATATCCTAACACCACTAGACCACTTGACGTCGTGGCTCACAATGCCACCGTGATACTGAGCGGTGTGCTTCTAGGAGCACTGCTTGCGTTTGTTGCTTCTCACCTGGGCTGGCTGCGCCACCATGTCCACCTGAACGATCGGTTGGTCAACGCAATCTTTCCACTGGGGCCGCAATTCTGCTTCTTTACATTACCTTTGTGGTTTATTGTGACAGTACCTCTTGTTTTGCGATTTTCCGGTATGCATATATAACGGCGTGAAGGCAACCAGTCTGACTTTATCAGTATTCATTAGGGAATATGTCACAGCGATTTATCAGTTTTATGGACTTTCGGAGTACAATGTCATTCTCGAGACCATGGAAACGGCTCAAATGACCAAGACACCTTTGAAATAAAGGAGCCCTGTCACTGTGTTTCAGATTATGCAGTCAAATGGATATCAAAGAGTCATACAAGCCCATTGTAAAGAGATCGGTGTAGAGGCGATTAGGGTTGGCGGCAAAAGCGTTAACGGTAGAAAAAGCCAAGATCTCCACATCTTTCCTTTTTGGGCTTTTGCTTTTCCCTTCAATTAATGTTGTATACCACACCCCTTACACCCCTTACTCCATTTCTCTTTCTGACCTGCCATCATGTCCGCCGATCTCGAAAACCCCTCCCCCACCGATCTAGCCGAACGCGAACGCGAGAACAAGGAGCGGAAAGCCCGCGAGGATGCCGAACAGGCTCAGCTCCCCTACAAGTGGACACAGACCATTCGTGATCTGGATGTGACAGCACCTATTCCTGGTAATCTCAAGGGCCGCGACTTGGATGTGCTGTTAACCAAGAACAAAATCCGTGTCGCGATCAAGGGTCAAGAACCCCTCATCGAGGTATGTCCCCAACGGAGATTACACCGTACACTCTAAATCAACACATCAACTCCAAACAGCAGCTAATAGCAGCTAACTCCATTTTCCTATTCAGGGTGACCTTCCCCACGCCATCCTCGTCGACGAATCCTCTTGGACCCTCGAAACTACCCCCACCCCGCCCGGCAAGGAAATCAATATCCACCTCGACAAGGTCAACAAGGTTGAATGGTGGCCTCATGTTGTGACCACCGCTCCTAAGATCGATGTCACCAAGATTACGCCCGAGAATTCTAGCCTAGGCGATTTGGACGGTCAGACTCGCGCCATGGTCGAGAAGATGATGTACGATCAGCGACAGAAGGAGATGGGTGGTCCCAGTAGTGACGAGCAAAAGAAGATGGAATTGCTGAAGAAGTTCCAGGCTCAGCATCCTGGTAAGTTCTAATGTTATTGTCTCTATCGTCTCTTGCTGGGGCACTTTGCCAATTCCTGGAGACGATGGCATTCTTTCGGTTTAATATGTTACTAATGTTTGGTCTTACAGAGATGGATTTCTCTAATGCGAAGATGGGCTAAATCCACTATTAGTATTTAACGATACCTAACTCTTCGTTCTCTATGCAAAAAAAATATCAATATATGAAGTATGAGTTATACGCATGACCTTCGATGAATGATGAATTGCATGGCGTTTCTCGAATCCAATTTCCAAGACCTGGTATGGGTCTCCAGTTTATATTCCTGGAAGTAGATGTCTCTATTCAGTTTCCTGGTTAACTTCTTGTTTCTGGTCATTCTGCCAAGCGACAAATACGAGAATTACCTCATCGGGGATAGCGCCCGGGCGTTCAAGTTGATCTTCCCTCTCGCCTCTCCCGTATTTTCCGTCACCACATGGCAGTTTCTCACTCTATTTGGACGCATGAAGTGACCGGGCTGACTAGAACAAGGCGTAGTTCCACAGTGTTGAGCCTCCACTCATTGCCTTGCGCCCAGGCTGGGATTTCAGCCGCAGAACTATATCACAACCCAATATCTTGATGCCTTCAGACGCTCGAAGCTTGTTCGTACATCCTTCAGCGTACATCTGATTCAATAGACCATCTCAAATACCCCCCGGTCAAATTTATATCCCGAAATCCCGAAGAACAATGGACGATATGCAGCCTAAAACCCAACCCCGGCCACACTCCAGGCGCGTGCCGGGACAGAATATGGTCTTTCGAATCCCCAACTACAAATCAAAGAATTCCCTAGCGTGTGGGTCCGAGCCGTCTGAACAGGTCTATCATTCCCGTCGGTCTCATCGGAAATCCCGCGCCGGCTGTGTGACCTGCAAGCAACGAAGGATCAAGGTACTGCGGACGTCCCCATTATCATTCATCGGCTGATAATGATTGAAGTGCGATGAAGCAAAACCGCATTGTGTTCGATGCAAAAAACATGGTATCGAGTGTGACTACTCGAGCCAGCCAGCTCGATCTCAAAAGACCAACCCTGAGTTGATGTCGATTGATTCTCAAGCTTCTTCAATGTCTCTAATGATGGTCACGGACAAGCTGAAAGAATTGCTTCAACCACCCCCTGCTACCGGTACCAAGCTGCCGAGATTACTCACAGATGCCACAGCATCAGCCCGCACTATCGAAGCATTGCATCATTTCCATAAAGGCCCAGCCTTCGCAACCGAAATTCAAACACCTCTTCGAATAGTAATGGGCAAAGTCGTTGAACTTGCCTTTGAAGTAAGCCCATTCTATCTAAACCCCCCTACCTATATTTGTCATAGCCATACCTCAACAAACACATCCCCACAGCCTATACGTACCTAATACAACATCAAACTAACACCCAACTAACATCAGACCCCCTTCCTCATGCACGCCATAATAGCAGCCGCAACAACCCACCTCTGCACCCTCCTCCCAGAAAGCAAAGACTACCGCCTAGCAGAAGCCTACCACTGGCAACAAACAATAAACCAATACTCAACCGAAGTCTCCAAACCCATAACCCGCCAGAACATGGACAAGCTCTACTCCACCTGCATGATGATAAGCATGCACTCCTTCCTCCAAGAAACCTTCAACCCGCGCACCTCCTTCGTCTTTACCACAGACCCAACATCCCTAACCTGGCTCCGCCTCCAAGCCGGCCTGCGCTACCTCCTCGAGCGCACGCTCCCCTGGCTACCGCAGAGCATGTGGTGGACAGTATTCATGGAGTCGCGGGATCCATCCCTAGACTTCGAAGATAAGCGTCCTGGTCGTGTGGGTCTTGATCCGGATTTGGCGGATCTGTGTGGGATCACGGATGAGACGACTGTTGAGTCGAATGCGTGTTTGTGGCCTTTGCGGATGCTTATGGGATTATTACCCTTTGAGAGGTCGACTGGTAGTTTTCAGGTTTATAATACTTGGATGGGGAGGCTGGAGAATCCGTTTTATGAGTGTTTGATTAGGAAAGAGCCGGGGGCGCTGGTTTTGTTGGCTTGGTGGTTGGGGCTTATGTGTTATGTTGAGGAGTGGTGGGTTGAGATGAGGGTTAGATCGGAGTGTACGGCTATCTGTATGTTTCTTGAGGATAGTTGTGATTCATTGGTATTGAAGTTGTTGGAGTTTCCGGCGTCGTGTTGTGGGTATTTACTAAAACATGAGCAGGAACGGGCTAGGGTTCTTGAGTTGGATTGATGTTGGATTGGGTTTGGTTTAAATCTTGGATTTGTTGCATCGATACCCATTTTTGTTGGTTAGTTGCCTAGGCGTGTTTTGTCGAGGATTAGTAGCGATAAAGCTAGAATTGGAGCATTTGATTCAACAAAATGTCTATATGTATTCGAGTTTATCGTAGTCGTTACACTATGTATGCCTGCCAGGATGCGAGCGAGTACCAAGGTAATCGATGATCTCGATACAGTGTCCTCCTGCATCCATGAAAGGCCGGTATGTGCAGGTCAATATTAAGTATCCAAAGCTATCCCAGAAGAGAATCCTAGAAGAAATCCCCTTCTACACCAACTCCCAGCCATGTCATAAACATTCGATCAGGTTCCGTAAATGATCTCGTCGCGTCATATGCAATAAAACAGCAGAAGGAAAGAAAAGCAGAAAGAAGAGAAATGCGGCAATGATGCAAAAAGAGAAGTAAGTCCACAATAGACGATTCCAGATCGCCCAGACCCAAAAGATCTCGGTGGGAAAATATTAAACAGGTAGCTGATAAGCAAAGGACAGCAAGCAAACATTCTTTCCGCAATGATTAAACGAGGCTGTATCACCGGCTCTCCCAAGAGGCCCGCCGATGACGACGAATGGACCGGTCATCCTCCTCAGAGTATGTGGGTCCAGTCCGTGAGCCGTTCATGCGGGCAGCGGGAGGCGGATTAATGATGACCGCCATAGCGGACGATACAGACATGGACCGCGAGCGACACAACGCTGCAGAGTGACGGGGGGAGTAAGGCGGCGGTGGAGTATCCCTAGTTGCAGTTGATGTATTGCCGTAGCTGCTTGGAAAGGAAATGGCTGATGAACTATCGGAGGTGATATCTTCGTCGTAACGATTGGAGTTCTTTTCGTCATGCGGGTAGGAGTTCTGGGACTCGGAGGAAATAGATGGATCACGCATATGGGCTTCTAGAGTCTTCTCGTGGAGGCTCATTGGTCGGGCTGTGTACTGCGGCAGAGGGACCACGCTGGCATAGCCCCCATCCTGCGAGTCAGAGGGCGGGGGTCCGTGCCCATGAGCCCCGACCGGAGATGCCGAGCGAAAGAATTCCCCTTCCGCAGAGAGCGTAAAGCTTCCTGTCTGGATGTTGTTGGGGTTGGGTCTCTGGGTCATCATCTCTGGGGATTGATGGGACTGCGAGGGCTTCTCTGCTCGGGTGAAGCACCCGCAAAGTGCCGAGAGGAAAGACATGGCTTAATGAGGCTGTCTTTTAATTGACAGTGTCGAAGCCAATAGTGATTTGGCAATAGAGAGTTGGCCCGTGAGTAAGAGAAGCTCTGAACAAGAACTATCGTATGAGCACTTCGGCCGTTGAGCCTCAAACGCGATAGCGGGCTGAACCCCACTTGCGTCGATAAACCCCACCTAAGCCGATAAACAGAGAAAATTGGACAAATATGAATCTATAGAAAGATATACAGAGAAAGAAAAGAAGAAAATGAGGGGTGGAAAAGAAAGGCCAGATGAGAGCTGACCCGGGCAAGGCACCCGCAGGCATCCAGATTCTCACAAAGTCTAATTGGCCCCCGATTAGGTAGTGTGTATGCCTGAGGCACACATATCCATCCATGGATTCATTCAAGTTCAAAGAGTGTACTGGTGTACTGGCTCATATGCAACAAATAATGGACCTTCTTCAGAGCCCGAGTCACAACAATGTAAAAGAGGAAACATTCTCAAATAGCACCGAATAACCACCGAATAGTATGCTTTCAGACCCGGAGCATTTTCAGGCACAAGTTGCGCCAATGACATGGATCGATACTCTTTCCCTATTTGATCACCCCCAGGACCAAAGGAAAAACATCAGACACGGTAAGTCAACCAGTTGTGTTTCGCCGGGCTAGCATCATGATGAATGAGGTGATACGCAGGCTCCAAATATCCCCGAGACACTATTGATCCCTCATTATAGCATCTTGTGGTTGTTGAAGTCCGACCTCGGGAGTCTCCAGGGCTATATAGAAAAATCGATAAGCGATAGTCGATAAGATCGGAAGATAAATTAGGCGGTGTATGGATAGGCCATCTATTATTGGTTAAAGCTTTTAGTGGACCGAGGGGCAAGAAAGTATGTGGGCAAAATATGATCATGTGATCTAAGCACCCCACCAATCGCGTCGCCGCTTGTATTTTTTTTGTTCTCCCCGCCTTGTCCTCGACGATCATTTACTTGAGCGATAAGATTTTCTTTCCACTCCTAATTCCAAATCTTGAGGCAATCAAAACTATAAATTTCATCCAACACCATGACCGTCGATCCCACTATCGAGGAAGTGACACAGAATGTCGAGCCTCGTCAGGTCGAACCCCATCGTTCCCACGATCCCACAAACAACCTGAAACGGACTGACCCCTTCCAATTCGGCTCACGATATCTTGAAAAGGGCGATGATGTTTTCGAGTTCAATGCCTGGGACCACGTTGAGCCAGATGACGAGTTCAAGGCCTTTGCCGAGACCCAATACGCCAAACAGCGCGAAACACGCCTGTCGGACTTTGATCGCAACCGATTCAACAACGACCCCGCCAAGTGGTGGGACCTCTTTTATAAGAACAACACAGCCAACTTCTTCAAGGATCGAAAGTGGCTGCGCCAAGAATTCCCCATTCTCGCCGATGTAACACAAAAGGACGCCGGTCCCCAGGTCGTCTTGGAGGTTGGCGCAGGAGCTGGAAACACCGCCTTCCCATTGCTGGCCAACAACGAGAACGAGCACCTGAAGGTCCATGCCTGTGATTTTTCCAAGTATGCCGTGAAGGTCATGCGCGAGAGCGAGCTCTACAACGAGAAATACATGTCCGCTGATGTTTGGGATGCATCTGCTGTGCCTGGAGAGAACGGCGATTCTCTTCCTCCCGGTCTGACAGAAGGATCGGTCGACGTTGTGATTCTAATCTTCATCTTCTCCGCCCTGGCCCCTAACCAGTGGGACCATGCAATCCGCAATATCTACCGTCTCTTGAAGCCCGGTGGCCGTGTGTTGTTCCGCGATTACGGCCGGGGTGACCTTGCCCAAGTGCGATTCAAGAAGGGTCGATACATGGCTGAGAATTTCTATATTCGAGGTGACGGCACACGTGTTTACTTCTTCGACAAGGACCAGCTCGTCGACATGTGGAGTACCTGGAGCGCAGAAAACGGCTTGCAGATTCCCATTGGTGATGAGGAACCCACCGAAGAGGCGTCCGAGGAAAAAACAAGTGAGGCCCAGTCCGCAGAGGAGCCATCTGAAGAGGCCAAGCAACTGGCAAAGGACAATGGAGCGTTTGAGGTCCTTAAAATGGGAGCTGACCGGCGGCTGATTGTCAACCGTGGAACCAAACAAAAGATGTACCGCTGCTGGATGCAGGGTAACTTCCGAAAGCGCGGTGGACCTGAGATTGAGGCGCAAACTGCCACCGAGAGCACCTAATAAACTCCTGAACTACCAGTTCTGCGGTGGTCATTTCGGATGGCCATAACCCTTCACCAAAGTCTCAGCCATAGACGGCAAATTCATTGTTTACCAATAAGCACGGTTTTTGCTGTTCTTCCCACCGTCCACACTTGATCTCGGGATTTTCGCCTTGCGTGGACTCAACACCGTGTCTTCAGGTGTATCTCAAATACTCGTCACGCCGAGATCAACATACCATGCTGTTTGGGCATTTCCAGTGGAAAAGGCAGAGGTAGAATTTTCAAAGCTACGAAGGAATGGCTTAGGTTGCTGTTTTATAGGGCAATGCCTTTATCATGGCGTTACGAATGTACGACACACACATTAGATCATGTCATTTAATCTGCACATACAGTCAAGGAACAATGCCTACCATATAGAGAACCATCGCACGATGCTGATGTAGAAGCTCAAATCTTACACTTATTCATATAAAACCATATACTAAGGGAGTACCATATCCATGAGTAATGCGTTCTATAGAACTCGGAAGGACAATTAAGCATATTGACGTGCAACTGATGGTACAGGGACCGGGGACTTGAGATAAATTACAAAAGGGAAATAATGGAATATATACCAAAGTCTTTGTTCTATCCAAATATCGACAAAGGCAGTCTGCCAAACGTAGATTCCCGAAGTGCAGAAAACGTGTCAAAAGTACATACGGAACAACGAAAATTTTTGTGCACACCCTGTATTTAGACAGATGGAATGGCGCCAATAGGGGGAAAAGAGAGACACTGGAGTTATTTATGTACAAGCCAATGCTCTAAGAATCGAAGAAGAAGACAGAAAATCAAGACGAACTCCATCCATGCGGGCAAAATGGGCGTCAACGGTGACAAAGCTCCCGTAGAAAAAGATAGAAAATTTCGTTGCAAGGGACCATAGCAAGTCATGACCTGTAGCAAGCTGCAAGCCTAAACGTCTAATCGCGGTATGTTGAAAAGCGAAACTATGTACCGCATGAGATTTGTTCATGAGCAAAAAGCAAAGAGCAATCAACAATGCAGAAAGATGGATGTATGTTGGAAGGTATTTTCACAGTGTCATATTCGGACACTCGCCCTGGGCTCGTTGGAAGGCCCCTGCGAACAAATCTTGCATGGCGTGGTAGTGGAATAGGATACCACCCAGAACAGCCAGGTGCCAGATATTGTGGCTGCCGCCGACGTAATCGAAAAGACCTGGCTTCCAGCGCTCAGGAACCTTGGAGGCGTAGACACAGGCACCGACGAAATAGACCATGACGCTCTTCACGACCGGTGCATAGAAATACATGGTCCATGAGAAGCCGCGTGTATAAGAGAGCTGAGCGATGGGCGAGAAACCAGTGAGTGCAAGGGTCACATAGAAGCCCACGCGGGCCCAAGCCATATCATGGCGATTGAAGGTTGGGTGCCACGGTAAAATGATGCCACCGATGCCAAATGACATGGTAAGCATAATGTATGTCCAGCGAGAGAGGGGCTCGCAATAGAAAGCAGTATATTCAGTCGTCACAATCGAGGCAGCAACCAGCATAGAGATTCCAGTGTAGTCCACACAGGCAAATCGTTCCATCAATGACTGCGACGCAATACTGTTCATAGTATGCCAAATACAGCTGCATACTAGACATTTGCATGCAGCGAAGAAGAAAACGGCAGCGATTGTGATGTCGGATTTGGAGCTCAGGTGGAAATTGGTGTGAAGCGGGTAGAAGTAAAAGGCGATGGCTAGGACGATGACGAGGCCGATCACATGGGACCAGATGTTGAACATTTCATTCGAATAAGTGAAAACCGACGAGACACATTCCACCTTCGAAGTGGTGAATCGGTAGCCGTTGATGATGTGCGGGTTGACGCGCCATGGATGAGGCAGTTCATCATAGTTAATCAACCGCTTCTCCTGGGCTAGTCGGATAGCTTCTTCAACAGTCTCTCGGAGAGTATCACGAGTCCGACGGGCACGCTCCATACCCTCATCGACGATTTCTCGGGCATGGACCAAGCCCGAGTCCATCGCTTTCCACCCGTCATCGATAGTGCCGTAGATGCCGCGATCGCGAACCGCATGCACTTTGTTCTCGAGTTCGACCAAGAATGACTCCATTAACCGCACACTAGCTTGCGCCTTTTGCTCCAGAGTCTCCTTAGTCACTAGAGCTTCGTTGTATCGATCCTCGAGGGTTTCGACCAAAATCTTGGCTCGCTTTTTGCCACTTCCCATCAACTCCCCCGAGGCTAGGGAGCATTGATCCCTCACGGCCTCCAGTGTAGCATAGCCTCGTTTCAGACTGGCATCAATCTGCACCATATGGGATTTCCGGTATTGCTCGATCCATTGCATTCGACGTTCCAATTCGGCCAAAAAGAGTTCGACCTATAACTTAGTTAGACTGTTGCTCAAGCATATTTCCCAGCAATAGTGAAGGTACATACCCTGATAAAGACTGCATCTGCATCTTGATAATCGCACGAGAGTTTTCTAGAAGAGTGGAACGAATGTCTGCGCCGATCACGAAGAATACCAGTATCCTCGTCCGGGGTCGCAATAGCAGAGGCAAATGCCTCTGCTTCGGGATATGTATCCACCGCCATTGTAGAAGCGCAAGCCATGGGGTGTAGTTGAGAGTTCACCCGTCCTCAATAGAATGTCATATAGTGTGGGGGAGGGTGATAAGCGTTGAGAGGCAAGGGCGCCGGAGAAGTACCGGGAGGCGTAGAACGCGAACAAAAGCCCTTAAGAAGATCTTTAGAAGATCTTTAAACAAGGAATGAGGGGCACATTATAGAAGTAGAAGGATTTAAAAAGAGGGGAATGAGGAATGGACGGTTAAATTGGGGGCGCTGGGGGAAAAAAAAGGGCCAAGAGTCCCCAACCACACAAAGTCCCCGACATTGCGGCCAATCCGTTCCGCCCTCAACGTTATTTTCTTTTTATCTTTCGCCACCTTAATCATCGGATCTTCTTTAGATCTTTAGATCTTTACTTTACATTATGGCTATTACTGAAATCGTCGCCGATGAGTCGCTCTTACCAGTGCTTCAAACTAGCGCTGAGACTCTGATTCAGTGTCAGCACCTCCTCACCATATTAAACCCCGATACCCTACCCAACGACGGCGCCAAGCTCCGAGAATTATCCTTAGCGGCGTCTAAGCAACAGAAACTCCTATTCGCACTATTGGCTCAACTCCGTGGCCAGAATCGGGATGCCATCTTTCGGGTGCGCGACACCAAGCAGTCAACTGCAGAGGCTCGACAAGAAATCGATCGGCTCCATCTTCAGCTCCAAAATTTATACTATGAGCAGAAGCATCTGACAGGCGAAATTGCGGCTTGTGAGGCCTACGAGTACGTGAATTTGATTTCTCACCCATGACGCTCTCATTTTCTCTTGGCGGGCAACTGACTGTAACAGTCACAAATACCTATCCCTTCCTTTGATCCCGGTCGGGGAATTCTTGGAGCTTCACCCCGAACATCGCGAGTCCAGCGAACATGACCTCATGATCGCCCGCATCGAACACGAGCATGTTGAACGAGAGAAGTTGGAACAAGCGCGACAAGAGCTTCTGAAGCGCAAGCAGGGCTTGATCGCAGAGAACAAGAAAAGGAAGAACGACCTTGCCAACCTCGACCAAGATCTCGAGAAGTTTATTGATGTATGTGATTCCGCTTGTTTGGGTCTGCTATTGATGGAGGTGCTAATAAGTTTCATGATATATAGGCTGCTAAGCCGATTCAAAGGATCTTCGAGAAGGAATACTAGACATTGCATGTGGAGGTACAGCGGTGGAGGCCTGACCTTTTGACTGCTACATTGGATAGGCGTTACTGGTCAATATACCCTTGTTTTATTTTTGTGATTTCAAAGTACTTCGAGTCGATAATGACATACTGGGCCGGTTATGGTCTTTCTTTCAAAAAGGCTAGATTGGATGCAAAGTCCGGAGCGAGTCGTAGGGTGCAAATAAAGCACATCTAAAGCAATCAAATAAGACATGAAATTACAAGTTCAGATGAAAGAAGATGTGTCTATTCCAATGCCGCGTATAGTTGACTTGTGTCCAATGCGGCCTAGGTGGTACCTGGCTTCTCCGCCCGGCTATCAACTTCCCCAAGTCAACAGTCAACTTGATAAACAATTACTCCTTTGTTGCTCTGATTTAGAGCACAAAGCATGTCCCGACTATGATGACCAAAACAGGAGACCAGGAGTCTCCTCAGGCTTCGGCCTCTCAAGTCGACCAACCCAGCGTCCAGCGCGCTCCGCCCCCAGAAACCCCGGCCGCCCTCCAAACGCGATTTCGAGTGATAGCTGCCTTTTGGGCCGTAATTATTCTCCTTGGATTTCCGATATGGTGGAAGACAACATCAATCTACCGGGCGTCTCTCCCCATCGAGGAGATGGTGGATTGGGCTGATGGCAAGGTACGGCTTGCGGGATCACCTTTGGCTTTGGGACTTGGTAGATGCTAATAATGGCCTTGACAGGCGTGCCGACCAGTCTTCCCTTTGGAAATTCACCTTGCGACACCTTCAATGCAATATTTCGAGGCCCAGCACCTCCTCCGCACAACACAACATACTCTCGATGATCTCAACGAGTTCGCAGCCCATCACCTTCGACTTAAGTTGACCAACGGCACGACGGCAGTTCATAATGGCGACGACAGCCTAGAAAATGTCCAAACCCCTGCGGAAGAGACAGCAGATATTGCATTGACCGTCCAATTACTGCCCCGGGATGGCATAGCAGGCCCTTGGTCAGAGCTCCATGCAGCTGCGACGCAACTCGATATCTTCTACCCGCCGAGCCAGGTCCCCGTACCTTCCTCCTCCAACTCCCCCTCTCCACTTTCATTGCGGCAGAGCTGCAGCGATTGTATGGCGAGGAGAAGGCTACTATAGCGCACATCTTGTCTGGAAATACCGCTGGGCTTGACTCGACCTCACCACAACTCGCCGAAGATATCGACCGAAGACTGCGCCGGTCGATGAAATATGCTGAAACCTACCACCTCTCCTTTTCACTATTCACCCCCAAATCCGAACCTTCCTCGTGGGACATCGAAGCCGCGGTGAAGGAATATGTCACCCCCTCCTGCAGGCATTGTCTCCTATCAGCAATTTCACCGTCGACACGCAAGTACAGCTCTATGCGAACTTTGCACCCACTGCGCCGAAGCCTGAGTATGATGAATCCGAGGCGGCATGGACATTGAAGAAAGAAGATCTAAGTGCCTTCGTCAATGCTGCCGAGTGGCCGCTGAACCCGAGCATCGGCAATGGCCCGACAATCAATTTCATCCTCTATGTCCCAGACCCCTCGCAGTCTCCACTCATTGTCAAGGAGAACCGTGCTTCTAGTTGGATGGTTCCCCAATGGGGCGGAGTTTTCCTCCTTAACCCGCCGCTTTCCAATACCGAGCAGGGCCTGTCCAACCCCTCCCATCTCTCCCAGGACTCTTTAGGTCCTGCATTCATGACATTCTCTCACCAACTCCTCACCCTCCTCGGCACTCCAAGTACCCCTGCCTCCCTTCCACTCCGTCTCCAGACATCTATCCGCATTCGCGCGGCCACTTTGTTGCTCTCTGCCTCATCAACAATGGGCTCGCTTGCCCGTCTTACTGAGTCTTTACCCTCCATCCCTATCCCAGCAACCGTGGCTACTTCGGTCTCCACCACAATCTCTCATTTGGCTGCCTCCTGTGCCCACTTGCGAGAAGGTCGTTTCGGCGCTGCGCTTGCCAGCGCCCGAGTTGCAGAGACAGAAGCTGAGCGTAGCTTCTTCGAAAAGAGTATGGTGGGCCAGGTCTATTTCCCAGATGAGCATAAGGTGGCGGTTTATCTGCCCCTTCTGGGCCCAATTGGTGTCCCTCTTGTTGTTGGGTTGCTCAAAGAGCTCAAGAGAATTGCCGCTCGACGCAAGGCGAAGGGGGCAGCATCGTAGAGTAATACAACCTCTCGACATTTATGTATTCTAGGAGTTATATACACACCCATTGAAACTATTCTTACTTCTCCATCTATGGGCGTCTTGAAGATTGACCCCCCTTTCCGGGCATATATCCAGTAGATTAACCTTGCACATAAAGCGGCACACAATATTTGAATTGGATGGAGAATTAATCAGGTATCTAAATAGGTGAAATTAAACCCTCGAAACAATGCGAAAAACAATGCAAATATGGATATCATGGTACACGATCAATATGCCAGAACAACGAAATGTCAAAACCAAGGCGACTGAACGCACAACTCAACCCTACCTGGCGCACCCTCACATCCCTCAATTATTAACGCCCAGGATCCCTGAACGGATTCTCCCGAGAATCATCATGAGTCGGATAAGGTGCATTCCCTTTACCATCATGAGGATCCCCAACAACACGCATCAGACCGCTAAACGTAGTATCCGGCCTAGCAGCAGCACCAGGGTACGGCTCAGGCTCCAAAAAAGTACGAGAATGCGAAAATGAGGACTCAGGCGGCGAATACACCTTGATGCTTTCCGTACTCGGCTGACGCTGCCGTGGCGGAGTAAATGGAGCCGACGGCATAGGAATTGGCATAGGGATGGGCGGCACATCCTGGTCAAGCCGGGGGTTTCCTCTTGGATAACCGGAGAATAGGCTCCGCACTCTGCTACCGGTGCGGTGGATCATGGTGCGAGTGGAGCGTCCTCCTGTAGAAGAGCGCTTGACTCGCGGTGGGCTTCGGAGGAAGTCTGTGCGGTATGAGGTATCGTCTTGGGGTATGGGGTTTGATATGCACAAGATTGCCCCGGAGGAAGAGCGTTGGGACCAGTTAGGCCCGGATTTGCCTTCTTGTATTTCACATTGGCCTTTTCGGGAACGTCGGAAACAGAGAGATATTAAGAGGGCGGCGACAGCACCGAGGACGGCACCTGGGAAGAAACCTGCTGCTATAGCTCCAGGTGGGAAGGAGGGACATGCGGTTGATAGTTCTGCGCATGCTGTGGAATTTGCGGACCTTTCGGATGAGGGAGATGGCACGGGTGTGATGGTTGCGTTGGGGATTGTCGAGCTTGTGGCCGTTGTCGATGATGATGCTGCGTTGGTAGAGGAGCTGGATACCGATGTTGTAGCCGTTGTCGATGATGATGCTATATTTGTAGAGGAGGGGGATACAATCGCTGTTGCTGTTGTGGAGGTTTTTTGGTTCAGGGAGCAAGTACTGCCTCCTTCGCAGGTGTAGCCAAACGGACAGCATGCAGCGCCGCATTTGGGAAGGCTGTCGCCTAGACGGGTGGTTTTGATGACACTTTCGGGGTAGAGAGTGACATCCTGCTGCTTTATATCACATGTAATCGGCGAGATGTAGCCACAGTCTTTGCCGGCGGGGCAGCAGATAGAGGAGCTGCCCTGGTCTAGGCTGATGCAGGTGGAGTCTGAAGGACAGCAGAAATCATTTGAGGCTGTCGTACTGCCACAGCGAGTGTATGAGGTGGGACAAGCATTTGTACTTCTTGAGAGGAGATCAAAAGAGTTATTATATGCTTGTCCTGGTCGGATGGTGGCCAGCAGAGTCAAGAGCAACAGAACAAATGGCCGTCCCACTATTAACCTATTCATACTGATGGTGCGTGTGTAGGCCGAGAAAGAGAGAAGTGTCTCTGACGATCAAATCCAGAAGAGCTTCGCCGAAGGATATGGACTGATAGCGTCCTTGACAGTATTTTCACGTATAACGCAAGTGTAGTCGTAAGTAGAAAGATCAACACTGGCGGGAACCTTGACAGAGGTAGATTGCAAATAGCTAACAAATAGCTAACAAGGGCATTGACTGAGGTATGAAACAAAAGTCAGTCAAAGAACCAGGATATGTCATTCTTGAAAGGAACCTGGGCACTGCCATCCTCTAGGTCTTCTAGACAAAGAGTACTGCACGCGCCGAAGTCCTAAAATAGCCACCGGGCTGTTTCAGGGTGAGCAACATGATAAAAATGGCAACAATATGAGCGCTAATCGAAAATCTTTGTTACAGAACTACATTAGACCAGGGATTGCAGAACGAGGATTGGGTGAAGGCCCAAGTGTGCAGAAGTGTACAAGGCGCTTAGAGATGAAGTAGATTTGAACGATTTGATTGGCTGTTGGGCCAGGGGTCTTACATAACCACACTAGTCCCGATCGGGCAGAACGTCGGGAGGGAAATTCTTCGACGTCGAAGCTCTGTACGATTAACCCGACCATTCACAGAGCCGCTCGTCATGTTCAGCCGATTCGCCAGGCCGCAAAGCGCTTTGCGCGCAGCCTCCTCTTTCTCCCCAGTGAGATTCACTTCCTCCGTCGCCAATCCGTCTTGACTGACCGCGTTTTGTCCAGAAACCTACCTCCGCCTTCTCACGTTTCCAGACTCGGGCTATCCATCGCATTCCCCAATTGCAGCACGACGCCTACTATAAGGAGAATGGTGTCCCGGAGTTCCTCTCGCCCGAGGCGTTCGACTTCTCCTGGACCCAATACCAGAGTCTGCTCGTTAACAAACTCAATCTGTTGACACAAGGTGAGCCCGGCACTCCGACCCTGTGGGACGATACATTGGTCCAATTCGGCCCAATCGGATAATTGAGCAATATGGCACTTTGGAAAACGTGTCTAACATTCGAATTAAATAGATACCATCGACGCAGATGCCAAACCAGGAGAATTGCTGGTCAAATACTCTAAGCGTCCGGAGATGGCCTCGGTGTTCAACTATGCCTCAATGGCCCACAACAACCACTTCTTCTTCAACTGCTTGGTTAGCAACGACACTAATCCCTTCGTATATGACATTCAATCCTAACCAGCCTGCTCAATATAGTCCCCCACAGCCACCACCGTCCCCGAGAAGTTCGCCAAGGACATCGTCGACACCTGCTCCTCCGTCGAGTCCCTGAAGATGGATTTCCTGGCCACCGCCAGCTCAATGTTCGGCCCCGGATTCGTGTGGCTCGCCAAGAACCTCGAGCGCGAAGGCATGATGCACATCTTCTGCACCTACAGCGCCGGATCGCCCTACCCTGCCGCCCACTCCCGGCGGCAACCCGTCGACATGTCCACCCACACCCCGGAGACCCAGCTGGGCAACCAGTTCGCCGGCTCAATGGGCGCCCATGCCCAGAACCAGAAGAGTCTCGCACCCGGCGCCGTCGACGTGCAGCCCATTCTCTGTGTTAACACCTGGGAGCACGCGTGGCTGATGGACTACGGTATTGCCGGCAAGGACGAGTACCTCGAGCGCTGGTGGGATCGGATTAACTGGGATGTGGTCTTCGACAACTACAATGCTGTCGGCTCGATGAAGAGCTCGCGCAACTCCATCAACCGTCATCGGAGTATGAGTATGCTTTAAGTTGAAAATCATTTCTGTGTCTGGATAATCTGTATTATATACTATCATGTTTTATTTTTTTTTTGGTCTTCATTGCTCATTCTCACAGGCTTCTGATTGAGCATGTACAGCGATCCATCCAATAGAATCAAATTGGCGATGCTCTATATTTCCATTCTGCTGTCAAGAGTCGAGGAGATGCAAGTCTAACAAGTAGTCTTATGTAGCAGACATGCAATGTATGCCCAAATACCAAAAACTCCACTAATATACAACCCAATCTACAATTGACCCTCTATCACTGTCCTTTACCCTCAACCTCCCGTATCCGCTTCTCAAAAGCCTCAATCATAACCCCAGCCATCTGCCCCTCAACAGCACTCATAAGAGTAGCATGCATCTGCGAACGAAACTCAAACCGCACCTCCAAATTGACCTTAGTCAACGGCCCACCCTGCGCTCCAGGTGAAAGCGGCACCAGCTCCCACTTCGTAGTCAGGTACTCGAACAAGCCCTCAGTCGCACCGGGGAAGAACCCGCTTAGCCCGGACGAAGAAGAGCTCTTACTAGCCTGGCCCTCCTGTCCCTCTTTGCCATATTTGGCCCCGCTATTAGCCTCCACAGTCAGCTTCTCTACGTCGCAGATCACGCGCGACGTGAACGTCTCGCTGAGCGGCCCGTAGCCCACTGTCAGGAACGCTTGTGTTGGGTACCCTGTTTCCGGATCGCGGGCTGTCACGGTAGACGCCGTGAGGAAGGGGAGGAATTGGCTGTAGGCTTCGACTGAGGAGATCACTTTGTATAGCAGGGTTGGGTTGTAGGGGAGAGTGCGGGTGGCCGTTAGGACGCGGTGCGGGGAGCTGTTGTTATTGTTGCTGTTGGGGAGGAAGGAGGATAGGTCGGGCAGGCCGAATGCTCGTGTGGTGGTTTTGGTGCCATTGTTTGGGAGTAGAGGTCGGCGCAGACTTGGTCGTTGTGCTGTGTTTATTGTCCTCGTGTTTGTGTCGAGTTGGTGGGAGACTGGGCACACATTCTGGCGCTGGGAGGGTAGGGTTGTGCGACTTGGAAGTCGCAAGGTGCGGAAGGATCGCATTGAAGAGGATGTAAGGAAGATATACACAGGTTGGTTCTTTGAGTGTGGTGGTTCCTGGCAGGCAAGAAAAAAGCTCCGGTTCCGCGGAGCGGGATCTGCAGCCGCCTCGGCAGGATTATTTAGTGCTGCATACTCTGTATTTCGTTCATGGATTTTGTACTTCATAGACTTTTTATTTATAAAATAAACCAATAGCTCTATAAAACGGGTGTATTGATAATATGAGTGGTCTTTAATATTGTAAGTACTTTAGTGCGGTTGTATTAAGTATATCTGGGTATATCTGGGCTATTATCCCAGTCGAATTAGGCAGGTATATCAAGTATGTCTTCAATGACCCCCAGGGAGTTGTATGACGGCATCTGGCTGGGGTTGGGTATTGTGGAATGCAACTTGAACTTGCTGGATGTGTATGTTGAGTATGTTGATCAACGGCCGCTGCATCGGGAGATTGGGTTGAGATATCATCTGAGAATCTTGTCAGCGTGATTTTGTGGAAGAAAGTTAGACTTACTCATCATGGGCATCGTTGATTGTCCAGAAGTCGAACTGGGATATTGCAAGTCATATTTATTCACCCGTTTGAGGATTCATATGTACTCATAGCATTCATGCTCGTTGTATATCTACAGACTGTTGGATTCCACGAATATGCGATGTGTAGTTTCCAGAAGAAGCAAGAAGTCTGCTTGTTCTTGGGCTCCAAGCCCAGGAGCTATGAACTTTCCAAGTAGAAAGGAAGAAGTGGACGCCCTAACTTGCGGGGGATTTACCCGCACATGGACAGAGCTTTATTTACTTCGATTCTATCAGGAATAGCCCTCGCAGACTGTAATCACCACGGCTTGTAATCACCACAGCTTCTTATATGTTTGTTTGTTTGTTTGTTTGTTTGTACAGTTCATTTTATTGGATCTCAGCCTTCATGGCGACTACTTCTCCGGGCCCAATAATCTCCACCTTGGTGCTCTCGCCCTCCTCAAGCACAATCCGATACTCTTCCCCGGCATATAATGGACTCGTTGCCCGATAAGAGATGCGTTCAGGAATAATCAAGGTAGAATCCATGAAGTCCTGGCGAGTGTCACGCCAAAGATCCAAAATGGAGATCAAATTCAACGGACCATGTACTACAATATCCCTGTGTCCTTCTACATCCCGCGCCCAGGGCAGTGAGTAGTGAATCTTATGAGGGTTGAAAGTAAGAGCAGAGAAGCGGAAAAGCGTCACGGGCGTTTGCATCAGGGTTCGCGTATGGGTATTTCCCTCGGTGGAAATGACGGATGAGGTAGGGTTTGGAGTCGCAATATGGGATGTTGAAGACGAAGGAGGGGCGCTGGATGGCGTTGATGCAGATGGAACAGGTAGAGCTTTACGGAATACCCAATTGCTATACGAATGTTGTTAATACTTTTGGTTTGATAATCTTGAAAAGGAAGGCCGAACCGTCGGTCAATAATTGACACGCCATGCTCGTTGGCGAATTCTTTCTCAATTCCAACAACAATCATATCCTCGCCCGTCTTTTTCACAACCTTGGACTGTGCACTAAGTACCCGCGTTGTCTCCAACACATCCTGTCCTACCCGTAACGGATTGAGTTTGCCATCTAATCGGGGCCACAGCACCTCGCCGCCTGCCCACATGCGCCGTGTGAATGGCACGTCTGGATTGTACGACGCATCTGTTCCATCCGACCCAAGTTCACTTTCCATAAACGCGGGTGTGAAATACGCGAGGTGATAGCCCGGCGGCACGGGCACTGCGGATTGCGGGGCGGGCGCGCCATTGGATAGGGAGGGGGCACCGGGGAAGAGGGTTGGGCGATTGAGTGTGAGGGTGAGAAGCTGGAGCTGGTTTGCATCTATCGTTTGCATACGGGTTTGTGGTCCCAGGGATTGGAAGCGCGACAAGAAGGCCTCGGCTACCGAGGAAGCATCTGAGCGGAGATGCTGGGAGATGGTGAAACTGCGAATTGTGTTCGGTCGGACTCGCGTCCGTACGCGCGGGCGAAGGTGTGCGAGTAATGATAAACTTGAAGACATGATGATTTTAGGAGCGTCGTAGAAACAGAAGTAGAAAAGAAAAAGGAGGAAGGAGAATGGAAATAGTAGTGGGGATCTCCAAATACATGCGGGGAAGCCGATTTGCTTCCAAGTCGGCTTTATACTCGACCTGGACCTTATAGATGACCTGAAATGCCATTGGATTCGTATTTTTTATGTCCATGCTATTTTAGTAGATAGTATTTTGATTGGGATTCCTGAATAAAGTAAAAGTGAACAACCGGAACTCCGAGTTAGAAAGTGAATATGGCACTAAGTGGCCCTAAGTAGCCCTAGAGGTAGACCTAAAGATATGATGCCCAGGTGTGATACCCCTGAAGGTGTCATGGTCCAGTGGACGGATGTGATTGCCTGATTAATAATTGACTAGCTCTTTCCAGGGCTGAGACACGGCATCGGGTTCAAGCTAGTAAAATGACGATGTCCCACATGTGCAAGGGTCTTCTGGTTTCCAAGATTGATTATAAACACTTTGATTATCAAGCTCAAAAGATAAGCTCGAGGTTGAACAAAGAATATAAATACATAAATACCCGTGTTACTTCCAGACATTCACATTCACCATCCCATTCAACAACCATATATCTACAATCTACCTACTGTCTACCATCTACCATGTCTGGCATCGAAATCATCTGGGGCGGGGCCTCAATCATGGACGAAGTCGCATATCCGACTCTCGAATCCATCAATGAGGTCCTCGATATTCTGCAAGCCAACGGCATCAACCACATCGATACCGCCAAGTTCTACAACAACTCCGAGGCGTTATTGGGAAAAATTCATGCCGAGTCCCGCTTTACCATTGATTCAAAATATCCCGGTGGATTTGCACCTGAGCCTTCCACCCCGGAGTCCTTTGTTGCAAACTTGAACCAGAGTTTGGCCCTTCTTCAAACCGCCCAGGTGAGCTTCTCATAGTCCGATACTGTATCCAAATCTCTAATGCCATTTCTAGCTCGATATCTACTACATGCATGCCCCCGAGCGCAGAAGCTCAATGGAAGACCTGTTGGTTGGTATCGACGCTGCGCACAAGGCGGGGAAGTTCAAGCGATTTGGACTGTCCAACTATCTGGCCGAGGAGGTTGAAGAGGTAGTCCGCATCTGCCGCGAAAAGAATTACGTTGTGCCAAGTGTCTACCAGGGCAACTATTCTGCCGTTGCACGTCGGGGAGAAAAAGAGATCCTCCCCACGCTGCGGAAGCACAACATCGCCTTCTACGCTTATTCGCCGATCGCCGGAGGATTCCTGACTAAGGATGTTGCGACATTAGTCTCCGGCGGTGAGGGACGATGGGACCCCAAGACACCTCTTGGTGGAATCTACAATGCGCTTTTCAATAAGCCCCACATGCTAGAGGGCTTGGGACAATGGGATAAGATCTCCAAGGAGGCTGGTATCTCCAAGGCTGAGTTGGCGTATCGGTGGGTGATGCATAACTCGGCCCTCAAAGCAGATCTCGGAGATGCTGTGATTATTGGCTCGCGCAATGTTGAGCAGCTCAATCAGACGCTTGCTGCATTGAGCAAGGGTCCTCTCAGCGCGGAAATCGCGGCGCAGATTGATCAGGTGTGGGATACTGTCGAGGCTGATTCGCCTTTGGATACCTTTAACGGTTTCTCCAAGTATGACAAGGTCTGAGGCTGAGAGAGAGAGAGAGCATGAAGAAAATTTGTAATTGATAATTGAAAGAAAAAAGTCTACTTTTGCCCAAAATACCAGAGCTCGTAGGAATAGAAAATCGCAAAGCTTGAAAGGAGTTAGGTTGTGGGAAGTGGGGTGGTGGGGGTGATGGGTCAAAAGTATGAATAGCTTCAAAATATCCCAAACGGGAAAGAAAAAGAACCCCAAAAACATCCCAAAAAAGACAACCCGAATAACTACCATGAAGCTCGAAGACTAAAGTTCCCATCTCATCAATCTTGGAAGGTACCGGCTCTCTATTAAAGTTAACACAACCAGGGATTATCCTACACCTTTTTAGGCTTCGGAGCTTCTCAAATCTTCAAATCGCTTATTTGTCTCTTGACTCTGCTCTGACTCTACTCTGACTTTTCGCTGACTCTTGTTGTCTTCTTCAATTCTTCAACACTTCAACTCTTCTTGTGACAGCCTTCAGACACTTTCATCATGTCGTCTAGAACTTCAGCTGTATCCTCGACTTTTAGCAGGGCTAGTGCACACGCACTCAGCTTCTCTTCTGCTTCCTCCCTTTCCTCTCCGTTTAGTGGCCCTACGCATGTCGATCGCCACGGATTTCTGAAGTCCTCATATCGTGCGGGTGGTCCGGTCCTAAGTTCTCTCCCGGCGTGGACAACGGATAATACCTTTACCCACGACGCAGTTCAGTTTCAAAGTCGTGCGCGAGCAGTCCTAGAGGATCTCAAAATCCAGTCCTCATTTGTGATTCTGAAGGGCCGCTTATCAAAAGTTGACCCTGAGCCCATAATTCTAGTGGTTTAATTCGAGCTTCATGGTAGTTAGCTTTTCAGATGTCTTTTCAGATGTCTTTTCAGGTGTCTGAAACCGGGAAGCCATGGAAACGTGTGCTAAACTGGTTGGCGAAATAGATGTCGCTCTGTCTATAACCAAGGTTAGAAATGCTGTGTACATCTGTAGACATGAGGTTACTCACTCCAGTGCATCACACCAGAAGCCCACCATCCCATTATCAGGGCCACGGCCGGGTTCGTGGAGGTAGCTAGCCTGCTGCAATCCGTGGGAGAGGATCCAGAGCTTAATGGCGTTTTAGCCCGCCACAATATCAAGTTAGATTTTAGCTTCAGGTGTGCTTTCAGTGTGTTTTCAGGTATGTTTTCAGGTGTCTTTTCGGATGTCTTCTTGGATGTCATCTCGCATATTCTTTCAAGATATTTTTCTAGATGCTTTCTGGGTGTCCTTTTTGTAGATATTCTTTTGTTATAGCTATAAGGATAATCAGCAGCTATATAAATACCACCAGGAATGGTAGACCCTACGATGTGTACAAAGCATAAACCATACAGACGACCTTCCTATGTATAACCAGGGATTTTCTGGGCATCCACCCCATGGTCGACTAGCTTCTTAAATGAGACTAGAGAAATCCAGGGAATTGCACTTGTTGTCAAGGCCTCCATACAATTGTCTATGATACGTCCTACGTCTAGTGTAGGTTTCAGTAGAGCGATATTAGGCCAACCCCAATGGGCGTGTATAAATGGTTGAATTGAGGGCTGTCAAGGGTATCTTAAGGTAAAGGAGCGCAAGGATAACGACATAGGACTGAGAATAGATAAACATATAATGGACAACGACACACAAAAACGAGATGAGTCCAAGGAAAGCAGATCAATCAAAGTCGAACCTGACCACCAGTCAACCGTTCCCAATCCCTCTGTCCAAAGGGGACATAGGTATTACCCTGGAGCCAGTAGAGTCGATCCTTCTTCGACACAAGAGCTGGATCCACGCCCTCATTGCGGAGAACATGCTTCTGTTGCTTGTTGTTACCGGTTGACTGCGTCACAGGCGTAACCCGCAAGAACAGCGGAGCCGCAAACCGGGGAAGGTTCTTGAGAGTGTGTGCAGCGAGAGTATCAAGCACCTCGCGCGAGGGCTCTTGTGCGGAATCAGACGTGTTTCCCCCCTACTATCTGCTGGTTGAAGAGGATGGCTGCACATCCGGCACGGCCATCATGGTTGGGAAGAGACACGCCGTAAACATTGGCTTCGTGCACATCAGAATGCGCGCCCAGAACCTCGGAAACCTCGCTGGTGGATACGTTCTCGCTCTTCCACCGGAATGTATCACCCAGGCGATCCGAGAAGAACCACCGGCCGTCCTTGTCCCATCGAACCATGTCACCAGTCCGGAAATAGGCGTCGCCCTTCTTGAGTACATCACGGATGATCTTGCCTTCTGTTGCCTTCTTGTTTCCGAAGTAGCCTTGGAAATTGGCAGTGGGATCCGCTGCATCGATGGCGAACAGCAACTCACCGGGATCACCTCGAGGGACATTCTTGCAGAGACCAGTCTTGGGGTTACGCCACGGTTCCTCGGTCTCGTGATCAACATCCACAATGGCAGAGCCACGACCAAGGATAATATTTCCCAAAGCACCGTTTCGGCCGATGGCACCCGCCGAGAAGTCGTTCGACGAAACGTTCCATGCGCCTGCGGTGCCTTCGGTGGCGGCGTAGAACTCGGCGATTGTGGGGATGTTAAAGCGCTCTTTGAAGCGGTTCCAGATATCGGGGCGCAGTCCATTTCCGAACGCCAGACGGATATTGTGCTTCTTGTCAAGGTCCTCGCCGGTAGCCGGGTCAATTTCAGGCGCTACACCCAATAGATAACGTAGTGTCTCGCCCACATATTGGATAATTGTCGCATCGTTCTCGCGAGCCTCCTTGATGAAGTTGCGCGCAGAGAACCGGCGGCCAATAATCAGGGTGGATCCGCCCATCAAGCAGGTTATAAACCCAAGCACTGCAGCCGAGCTATGGTAAAGAGGCATGCACTAGTCAAGAGGTTAGCTTGGACAGTAAAATTTGTAAAATTGGTAGACCTTACCGTGAAGAATCTGTCAGAGGAAGTAATGTTCAACCAATCTTTGACGAACAAACTACCAGACCAGCACTTCTTCCAACTGACAATAGCGGGTTTGGGCAGCCCGGTGGTGCCACTTGTGTAAATTAAAATGGCCATATCGCGAGGGATCAAGCCACTGCGGACCTTGTCATCCTCTCGCGTAGGCTCCATCCCCAAAATCTGCGCTTCCACCTCGGGGGTATGAAACACGATTTCAACCGGTCCCTTGCCATCGCGGAAGCTCGGAGATGTCAAAATCTTCTCCTGCTCCGCCGGGAAGCAGTGGCGAACTTCTTCATCAACCACCAAGAGCCTCGCGGTGGACGTTCGAATGGAGTGAGTGAGCGGCTTGCCAGACAAGTTGTAATTGATAAACGCAGGGACTGCTCCAATACTCCATAGTCCCAGCAGCATGAAGATGAAAGTGGAAGAGTTCATGAAGTCGATCGCGACGATCTCCTTGCGCTTGATGCCGTGAACGTTCTTGAACCACGCTCCATAGCGAATAACCATTATGTAGGCTTCGTGGAAAGTCGTTGTTTTCCCATTATACACAATAAAATCGTTGTCTGCACTTTTAGGATCGAGTGCATGGGCTTCCAGTACGTAGAAGAGGTTCAAGCGGTCGCCACGTTCGGCGACGCGGGACTTTACGGACATCTTCAACATCCCCTTGAGGAGGCTCAAATCGTAGGAGACTGCCCATCTTGCGTTAAGATATGCAAGTGTGGTTGCCGCAGCAGGGAGTGCAAGACTCAAGGGAATATCTGCGCAAAGAGACAGCTTGTTAGCCATGCATCCGGTCCCGCCGTACGTCAGAACCTACTGGACAAAGATGGCAGTGGCATTATGATCAAGAAGGTTCAAGGATCAAGCCCAACTGATCAGTATTAAGAAGTATGATATTTGGGTAGAGGATGCGATCGCCCCTTGTATCACAGCTGTGTAAATTAAGGAGAAAGAACAAAGAACGGGCGAGAGGAGCTCCTTGGCTGATACCTCGGGTTTTATTGCTACCTAGGTAGTAAATAAAAAGCAATAAAGGTTCCCGCGAGATCCGTGAGACTGGAAGGGAAAAAGAGCGAAATGTGCCTCGGCATGAGCGTGCCGATCCCCTGACGACATGGAGCCTTGGAACATACGCGTACACGGACATACAAGAATTAACGTCCAATTTCTCCTGTATAATAATCATAGCATTCAAATACTACTTATGCAATTCTAACAATACCTTCACATGGGTCGGCTTATTTAGGGGGATCGCCACCCCGCACTTTTTATTCCGAGAGTAACCTCACTTGTTCTTAGCGTCTGGGTCTATATGCCTATTTTGACTATTTTCAGAATTCTAGGATAATATTGGCATCAATAAGAGAGTATATCACTTTTTCAAGGGTCTCTTCACTGGGACATCCTCATAATCATCTTCCATGAACTTGCCCAATGCATCCAAGCCCTGCTCTAGTACCTCGGTTTCATTGACATACCCAATGCGAACATAACCTTTGAAGTCTTCTCCGAGTCCAAAGCAAAGGCTTCCCGGCACGAGCATCACACCGGTCCGTTCCTGAAGCATCTCGCAGAAAGCGACATCGTCTACGGGTTTTCCCATCTTGTTAAAACGCACAAATGCAGTGCTACCGGCTTGCGGCTTAACCCACTCACACGCCCAGCGATGAGCATCAATGAACTTTTCCAGAAGAGAGAGATTAGTCCGAGCTAGATCGAGATTTCGCTTTAGGAGATTGTGGATGCAATCCGGTGCTAGTGCAAAACTGGCAATTGCCTCGTCAATTTGCCCGACCGAGATAGTTGTATAATCACGCGCATTAGCAAGAGCTTCGATGATAGAACTATCCCGCGATGCAACCCAGCCGACCCGCAAACCCGCTAGGCTATATGCTTTGGAAACAGATCCTGTCACCACGGTGCGTTCGTATCCCATGGAAAGAAGCGTGGGTGGGAACCTCGGGTCCGCTGGACTGATATTGTGGAAAAGTGGGCGATAGACCTCGTCAGAGTGGATGATAATGGATTTCTCGCGGGCAATATCGACCAATTGTTGGAGTGTCTGGCGGGGGATGATGGCTCCAGTAGGGTTTTGCGGGTTGCTATAACAGGCATAATGGTCAGAAAAATGCGCGACCTTATATAATATAATTGCGAACAAGAGTCAGACATACTTTATGATGATCAATTTCGTGTTGGGGCGGATAAGGCCTTTCAGCTCCTCAATGTCCAACTGCCATCCATCGGCCTCTTTGGACTTCCACAGGCTAACTTCGGCCCCCACTGATGCAGGGACGGAGAACAGTTGCTGGTATGTCGGGTAATGGCAGATGACATGGTCTCCTGGGCCAACCAACGTATACAGCAGCAAGAAGTTCGCTTGAATTGCGCCAGCGGTGATCAAGATATTATCCCTCGGTAACTGCGTTGGTGCCCTCACCGAATACAAATTCGCCAATGTATTTCGTAGTTTATCGGAGCCTCGGATCGCCCCATACGTAAGTTTGGTGGATTGAAGCTGGGTCAAAGGGTTGGAGTCCTTGTCATCGGAGAGCGCGCGGAGATCGTCGACGGAGATGGATGCGCAACAGGTCTCGGCGGTATTATACTTGGCAGTGGTTTCATATTTGTCCATCCACTGCATATTGGTTAGCAAAGCATAATTGTAACGACGCAGGGAACAGATAGATACCACCGAGTCATGGGGTAATGCGGGGAGGTACCTGTTCAACCGCGAAGGCTTCAATCTTCACCATGGCTGAGAACGGTGAGCAGTACCGAGCGAAGTAGCTATATACAATCAAATAAATATGTACAAAGACGTTCCAAGTTTCAGCTGAATGGGTAATAACTTGGGTCTTTCGCTGTGCTACCGCCGCTTTTACCCATGGTTCCTCGAGTTGGTGCCATCACGTGATGAGCCACTCCATAAGCGTTCCCAATCGATCGTCACGATCCTGAGATTTTGATATGTTGGAGTCGAAGGTTATATGCGGCGGAGATCATTAATTAGCCAGTGTTTATCCGATCCGTCGCTCATAATGGGTCGTACTTCTTCCAGTTACTACCTAGGTAATATTGACTGTGATTCTTATCGTGTATCACATCGTTGCCCCCGCAACGGTATTGGGAAACTACAAATAAGTTGAGTACACTCTTTTATGTATTCAAGTGAAATAAAAGAGCATGGCGATTTGACAGACTTTTTGCCGGTATCCTATCTAATGTCCTTGGTGTTAACATTCTCAAGGCATTTTTCTGATGTCTTTTCGGGCTGCTTTTCCTATAGATCGATGTTATAACGGCTATCCAAAGTTGACAACATGGTTTTACAGAGGAGGAACAAAGGGTAGGTACATAAATTGGAAAGAGCTTCCAAGGAACGTTTCGTTGCTTTCTAACTGCATGTGGCTAAGTGTGAGCTGAATCATTATGCCTTTGACACTTTATATAGTCTAGGCATTGATTCTCAATATTTCATGGCTATACCGCATGTCTCCACCATATCTTTTCCTCCCGCTTCGCCATCAAAGGCTCGATCTCAATTCCTAACCAGCTTGCTGAGCCATCAGAGCCAATCCGAAACTCCACCCGGGCAGCACTGGGAATGCCCCATCTAACTGCAATTTGAAGCCAATATGTGCCGGAAACATGAAAGAAGCCTATTTCCAAACCTTTGGAGTAGTCATTGTATCTTGCAAGCGAGGCGCACAGGTCAGGGGTTGTTCGGTTTAGCACCTGGTAAGCGCGGTCACCCCTGCAGTTGCTGGACATCCTAAGCTCTGGGTAAGCTGGGTGTGTATAGGATCCTTCATAAGCAGAGAAGTTGATAGGGCTTGCCAACGGGGGATCGGGAATTCTTGGATAGAGCTCTGATAGGATGTTTTCAGAAAGGTAGCTGTCGTTGATCATTTCATCGCCTCTGTGTTTTATAAAGGTCAGGGAGACATTTCGAAAAGGGTAACAAAGTCAAGCTATCGAGTAGCGAACTAAATGTTCTGCCATACCTTGCAATCCAGTCATATCGACTCTCAAGGGGAATGCCCATTTCTTCATCAATCAGATGATAAGCAAGTGCATTCGCCGCCGCGTTAACCCCATCCATATTATTGCCTAGCACCACAAGCCCGAAGTTTCGTTCTGGTAAGAGCATTACGGACGCTCCATACCCAAACTGGGATCCTTCATGGTATAGTATCATCTCGCCCTTATATGCTTGTGACATCCATCCTAGTCCGTAAAGTGTAGGAGTTTGAAACGGCTCCATGGGATTGGGTGATACTATAGAGTGACCACCAAACAATTTTTCATAGCCTGTCTGGGAGAATGGTGGTCCACGTTTCAGCATGGTTGAAATCCACTTGGCGTAATCTGAAACCGACGACAGTATGTTGCCTGCTCCACGGATGGTATCTGTAAATAATTGCTCGGTGGAGGCAATTTTACCGTCAAAATCCACATAATAGCCTTGTGAAATATCCCGTTGTGCTTCTCGAGCCTCGGAGAGGGAAAGATAAGTCTCTGTCATATTCATAGGCAGCCAGATATTTTCGGTAAAGAACTCCTGCAACGACTGATTCGTCACGGTTTCGATAAGATGGGATGCCACGCAGTACATAAGATTTGAATATTGCCATTCTGTCCGTGGAGAAGACGTAAATGGAAGATGTCTCATTGATCGTACAGCTTCTTGAAGAGTTATGTCGGCGAGCCAAACCCAGTCGTGGCGTGGTAGGCCAGAGCGATGAGACAAAATGTCAATAATTGTCATTTGCGATGTAGACCAAGTATCGTTGAGTACGAAATCCTCTGGGATGATGGTGTAGACCGGTGTATCCCAATGGATGGCTGGGAAATTAATGTTATCGTCAACAAGGAGAGAGATGGCCGCAGAAGTGAAGGCCTTAGTCGTGCTTCCTGCGAAAAATAGGGTATGCTCTGTCACTGGGTCGGAACTGATAGTATTCGAGACGCCATAGCCCTTCACGGTTTTTGGTCAATTTAATCACCGGTGGCTACATCAAGAACAGGGCCACACACTTTAACAAATGTATCTCCACGAACGACTGCAACAGCTAGACCAGGAATGCTGAAATGTTCAAGGGCCCAATTGACCCTTTGGTCGAAATGTGCATCAAAGGGCGAACTGGACTGGTTTTCGTACACTTGAAGGGGCTGTTGGAAAGTCTCAAGCCCGGCCAGTACAAGGCAAGGAAAGATAAATGCCAATGGCAAAGGCATTTTGGGCAGAAGAACAGACCTACAAGCGAAAGCTAGAGAGTGATAAATGAAGTAACCTGCGGAGTGTTATTCGAAGGGAGACTTCAATCATATTAGGCAACTCTCAATATATATTGCTAGTGCTAATTAGTATCACGGTACTCCACTGTGACTATGACTTAACCCGATTACTAGTTTTTTCCAAAGTTACAAAGAGACCGATAGATAAGCGCTTTTCGTATTTTTCCCCCGGGAGTCAAGTAAGAGTGTAGAGCCGAAGACCCGAGGGTGATATAAATTCCAAATTATCTAGCGAATTGCAGTAGGTCAAGACATTCAAGTTATATCCAAAAAGTGGATGAACATACAAGTCTCAGCATCTGGCTTACTGCGGTACTGAGGTGGCATTTTAGCCCTAGCAACGGTAGCAACATGTGATTCCTTTAAGCTGGAAGGTTGCATACTAGGGGGCCACAGCTCTCATAGTATATGTGCTCCTCTACGTCTCACCTAGCAATCATCAAGCAACTAAACCCCACATATAGCCAATCTATTAGGGCAATAAGTAGGTGCGCCTTTCCAATAGTGGTCTCCCAATGACCTTTTGCAACCAGAGAGT